AACTGTGGAAAATTCTGAAGGAGATGGGAATAGCAGACCACCTGACCTGCCTCTTGAGAAACCTGTATGCNGTGGTGTTGGAGAAGACTCTTGAGAGTCCCTTGGACTGCAAGGAGATCCAACCAGTCCATCCTAAAGGAGATCAGTCCTGGGTGTTCATTGGAAGGACTGATGTTGAAGCTGAAACTCCAATACTTTGGCCACCTCATGCGAAGAGTTGACTCACTGGAAAAGACCCTGATGCTGGGAGGGATTGGGGGCAGGAGGAGAAGGGGACGACAGAGGATCAGATTGTTGGATGACATCACCGACTCGATGGGCCTGAGTTTGTGTAAACTCCGGGAGTTGGTGATGGACAGGGAGGACTGGCGTGCTGCGATTCATGGGGTCGCAAAGAGTCGGACGCGACTGAACTGAACTGAACTGAAAAAAAACCACACAGAGTTTTCATTTATATTGGTCAGATATACTTAATAGCTTTATGCACACATCCGTGCTAAGTCATTTCAGTCATGTCTGACTCTTTATGACCCTATGGACTGTAGCCTGCCAAGCTCCTCTGTCCATGGGATTTTCTAAGCAAGAATACTGGAGTGAGTTGTCATGCCTTCCTCCAGGGGATCTTCTAGACCCAGGGATCGAACCCAAGTCTCTTACCTCTCCTGCATTGGCAGGTGGGTTCTTTACCACTAGCACCACCTGGGAAGCCCTAACAGCTCTCTATAAGGCTGTTAAAAACTCTACAGACACCTTGAGATTATAGGGAAAGCACAAGGTCTTTAATTGATAAATTTTCATTTTATCACTTAACATTCTCCAGTCTTGTAAATTGTTAGTAGTAGTCTGTTTTTTATGTGTTTTTAATTTTTTTGTCCTTACTGCTGTCCCGGAGCAGGAATTTAGAAGCTGACCTTGCCTTTCTAGCTTTCCGGTTTCTGCTTCTCCGATCCTCTTTTTGGGAACCTATGTCCCAATCACCACCCCTGGGGAACACACTTTTCCCATTCCGTATGTTATGTTTGCCTTTTGTTTCTTTGTCTTGTGTTTTCTTGTTACTTTTTTTTTCTTTGTTACTTTTGATTCCAGGTACATGTGTCATAGTTTAGGGAAAGAAGAGTGTGGGGATGGACAGGATAGATGGTGAAGGCTTTGCTCATGACTGATGTCTCCTCCCCGTTCCCCCCCCCCCAAAAAAAAAACACAACTCTACAGAACTCATCACAATTGTACTCTCCTTAGCATTCATCACCCATGACTACAAAGAATGCTCCCCCATTACACAAGTGCATATACAGCTCCATCTCCCTGCACATCATGCTCCTACGCTTTATGTGATGAGAGATGTAAATTCTTTTCCCCCAGAGGAAAAATCTATTTTATCATTAGGGTTTGTGTGCTAACCAAGGACCAGTGGTCTCCCAATCATCAACAGGACTAGCGGGGACTTCCCTGGTGGTCAGATGGCTAAGACTCCACACGTTCCCACTGTAGGGGGCCTGGGTTTGATACCTGGTCAGGGAACTATACCCCACATGCAGCAATTAGGAGTTAGCATACCGCAACTAAAGATCCAGAGTGTCTCAACTAAGACCCGGCACAGTCTAATAAATAAATATAAAATAAAATAATCTTCGTATAAAGAAACAAACAAAAAACCAGAACTAATGAACCAGATAGTGAGCAATCTCTTGTTATATAACATACTCTGAGAATGTTTTAAATGAAGAAATGTTTTACCTTATACTTGTCAAATAAGAGACTTCAGAGATAGTCTATTCTATGAGTAACAAACTCAAATTCTTCCAGGGGCCAACTCGAATGTGGGGTTCTGTAGAAACGAGAGAGAACAGGATCTAACTGCAGGCGTTCAAATCACTGTCAGCCCCTAATCTCATCTCATGGTTTCATTCCCCATCTAAAGAAACTGAAGAGATTAGGTTCAGCTGAGTTTTGGAGGCTACATAGCAAACATATTATGCAGTGTTGAGAGGAAAACAGAAACCATGTCAAGTATTTTAAGCCAAAAGAGATTTTATAGAAAGAATTAGGTGACTTGGCAAAAGGCTGGAGATTGTTGAAAGGGCTACAAGTGCAGGGTCTTGGCTGGGCCTCCAGGAGTAACTTCTAAAACACCAGTAGATGAGGCACTGGGGAATATACTGTTTTTGACACAATTGGGAGAAACCTTGGAGTTCAAGAACATACTGCAGCTCTGACCCTGAGAAGCTGGGATCTGGAAGCTTATCTGGGCAAGGAACTCAGAATCTGTTCTCTACCCCCCTGCGCTGCCTCCTGACAGCCAGAAAGCTGATGATTCAATACGGCATGCTGAGACTGGTTACTCTAAGCCCCTCCCCACACCCACCGGCATCTCGTGCACCTCCCGTGCCAACAGAAAAGAGCCAAAAAAATATCAGGGAGACTGTCTGTCTCACCTCTGCCTCTGAGATCTCAGACAAGCCATCCAGAAGTCTAATTCACATCCAGAACTCTAAATGGACCGGAGTCTGAGAAATGTTTTCAGCTTTCCAGTTTCTCCTATTCAGGAAGGAACACTAGCAGCAGGTAGGAATGAATGTGAGTGCCAAACTGCCATTCCCAGCACAGCAGCTTTTCCTGTCGGCCCCAGGAATCAGGCCCCCACCACTGACTTGTCCTCTCTTACCCTATCATACCTTCTTTGGAAACCTCCCAAAAGCAAAAATCTAGTCAATAGGGCTGTAATTCTAAAGACCTTACGCTAAAAAATACGTGGACGGGTCATTTTATTCACATCATTAGGTACAGGGTAAACCACACTACCTAATTGACTTGTTAGGTATATTCTGACCCATTGAACTTTGCTGAATGGCAGAGACTGTATTTAATTCATATTTGTATCTCCTGTCCCCAGGTCTGCTTGGCCCAGAGAAGATGCACGGGCATTTGCTGAATTGAAATGTTTTACTATTGACTCACTAATGGAAACAGTAAACCGGAATTTCATGAGCTACAGGATAGCCCCAATAGTATCAGGAGGCGGGCCCGCGACAGAGGCATGGGGGGAAGGGGGTTTTCGTTTTTCAGAAGAACAGATGTCGATCTGGCTAAGCAAGGTACCTGCTCTGTCTCTGTCCACTGGTGTCTTGGATTTCTCGATGGGATGCTAAAGTTAGTGGTGTCTTCCCACTATGAGTCTTTTGGGGCAACAAAACACGCCAGAGTCCAGGGTGAGATTACAAGGATGCCATAAGAAGCTGATGCCTGATAAGTAAAATACAGCCACAGACAGCGTGAGCTCTGAGCAGGGGCTTATTTATATTCCCCAAGCAGCAAGAGCTGATTAGTCTCAGCACATTAGGGGGGCTAACCTAGGTTAGCACCCCCGACCACGTCTGGTGGATCTGAGAACAAAAACAAAAACCTACTCCAATAACAACGGTAGACAGACACACACAGCCAGCCGGCCAACCAGCCTCCACGCCGCGTACAACCAGAAGGCGCGGGGCGCTCGCTCTCCGCGTCCGGCCCGGCACAAAGCTGCAGCCGCGGCGCCGCTTTAATTTACACTCACTGCCCTCCAGGGGGTACTCACCTCGCGCTCTCGGGCTCCGGCCCCCGTCTCAGCCCGGCAGATTAGAATAGGGGCTCGCAGGCCTGCGGGGGAGCCGGGTGGAGCAGGTTTCCAGCTGGCGCATCGCCCCAGGCGGCGCCGAGGCTGCAGTTATTTAAGATAGCGGGGCTGCGCGGCCCCACCCCGCCCCGCCCGCGGCGAGGGCGGTCCCGGGAAGGAGGCCGGGCGCCGGCTGGGTGGATCCCGCAGGGAGCCCGGAGAATCGCAAGTCCACACCCCGGGACCCTGGAGCGGCGCCGCGCGGGTGGCGGCCTCGCTGGCCCCTGGGGACCGGGCAGCCGCGTCTCCCTGGGAAGCCACGGGTTGACGGCCCAGCGTGCGCCGACCCCGGCATTGACGAGCTCCCGGGCGAGGACGCGCAGCGCTGCCGCCGCAGAGTCTGGAGTGCAGCCTGCGCAACCTTTCGCTGGCTTAGCATTCCCATCTACATTCTGGAGTTTCACTCCACCTTTACAGTTGTGTTGTTTCGAAGTGTCTTCTCAGGTGGGGCGGATGGGCCTCTGTTCAGATGACCGATTAAGTGGATGAAGGACTTGTCCTCTCCCTTTTATGGCTTCTTCAGCACTTGCCCTTCTTGCTGCGTTTCAGATTTTTACGTTCCAAGTCAGCATCCATTTAATTCTGCCTTCTATTTCCGTGTCTTCCTTTCCTCTATCTTTTCCTCCCCCTTCTCTTCCACCTAATTGTGTGTATATGCGCCGGTGCCCCTTTCAGGGTAATTTTTGTTTCTTTCAGAAATAAAATTGTCTTACCCGTTTTTCACTGCTTTAAGCAACGGCCAATTTTAGTCTCCAACAGCCAGAAACCATTCATGCTTCTTTCTTAGGCCTTCACTTACGGAGAGAAGGATGAACCTAGATTCCATCTAATAAGCATCTAAAGTGACTATATTCCTAAATGAACACTTAACTCTGTGAAACCTTGCAAAAGTTTCCTGTGACACCCAGCTTCCTCTTAGCACAGGAATGAAATGTATTTTTCCTTTTCTTTCAATCGCATGATCATTGATGTATCACCCAATTTGATTAGCACAGCTTTGGAGAACATTGGATTTTGGGGCTAGTTTTCGCTTTTTTATTGTTTATAATGTTCTATAGTTTACAGTTGTGAGTTTCCCTGGTGGTGCAGTGGTAAAGAATCTGCCTGCAATGCAGGAGACACAGGTTCGATCCCTGGGTCGGGGCAATCCCCTGGAGGAGGGACTGGCAACCACTCCAGTGTTCTTGCCCGGGAAAATCCCATGGACAGAGGAGCCTGGCAGGCTGCAGTCCATGGGGTCACAAAGAATCCAACAGGACTTAACAACTGAGTAGGCATGCATGCTTATAGTTATCTCTGGGAAAACAAAGTCTGAGGGAGCATTTGTTAATATTTAGAATCCATTTTGTAGTATTCATCATGTATTTATTTAGAATTCATGTTTTCATAGCTTACATATAATGTATACTGACTCAGAGCATTAAATAGATAGTTCATAACATACTTAAAAGCTTCAGTATTCCATTCCTTCACTTGATAATAAGTTATAACATTCTGATTACATCACATCAAAAGAAACCCAAGTCATTTGGCTCAATTCTGTAATTTTACAAAGCAGAAAACTAAAATTGCAGATAAATCGGATGACCTGGGGTCTAGGTAAAAAGCCAAGCTATATGTGCTCCAGTGGTGGAATACCTGGACCAGACCCCTAAAGCAAATCTTATAATCAATGGATTCTTCAGGCAGGCTAGTCAAAATATCCTTTGCTGTCAGGTTTAACTCACCCTCATCAACTGCATGTTCTGCTTCATATATACAATTTTAACCTTTATGTAACCTGTTATTGTCCATTTCAAAATTTTCCTTGTTAATATTTACAGTTATAAGACAAAAGATTAAGAATCACTGCTCATTTACTGAGATCTGTAGGTGCATCATACATATCGTTTGATCTTCTGAGTCAACAACAAATAAAGCACAAACATAAAACTCTAATACTAAAAGAACAAGAAAAAACTTCTCCCTAGTAGCATGTTATGGAATTATTTTCTATGGATTTACATTGAAATGTTTATTTTCTTTAGTTTTGTTTATTGTTATATAATTCATTTCTATTTATACATCCAGAAACTATTTCTAAGTTTCATGTTCTCTTATCTGCTATGTCAGAATTTGGTGAGGAATCTATATTTAATCTAAAAAATATCCCCCAAACGAGAAATACTGTAAATTAGTTAACCGTATGTTTATTATGCCCATGTCAAATACTGCTTTTTTTTAATAAAGATTTTTTAGTTAGACTAAAAAAAGTACTAAGAAAAGTGATGGCATCCATTAAGTATAAATATCTGTGATTATTTTTCTTTTACATAACAGATCAACAATATGTAGTCTTGAACCTAAAACCCTTTAAGTGTTGGTTACTGAGGCCAAACTCCTTTATACCTTTGGTGTTCATTTATAATGGTGTAAAATTTTAAAATGAGTACCCACATATAGATCAATGCAGAACTGTACAAAAATATCTGAATGTTGGGAAATAAAATAAAATAGAAATGAATACCGTTTAAAAAAAAAAACTTTTTTCCTTCATATTCACATTTTAATTTTTACATGCTTACAAATTGAGGCTTAAAATATTCTTTTTGCAGTGAGTTCATTATCTCACCAATCTACAATGATTTCAGAACAGAATGGAAAGAGATTTATGTATTTAAAGACTCAGATTCTTGTGAACAATGACATCATCAAAAGGTCTCGTTTTCATTAATTTGCCGTTAATTGGAAAGAGAAGATGGGTGAGTTTTCTTCGCAAGCAGGTTCACCGTAGACAGGAAGGGCCCGCCTTCCCGGCAAGGAGACTGAAATCACAAACTCCAGCCTCCATCAATGATGACAGGGTTACCTGTGACGTAGGCAGACTGCAGTGATAAACACAAGGAGACAGAACAGTTAACCAGGTTGTGTTTCTTCGGTTTTCCTGACTGAGACAGCTGAACAGTTTATTCTCACAATACTAGGAAATCTCACTTCACAAAGAGAAATTAGAAAAATCTGAATTAAATTCCAGATGATTTAAAACTGCGGAGTGTTCTTATGATCTGGGGCTAACTGGACTCTTGCTGGTGTCTGAGTGCATGTCATATTCTAAGAGTGTTTGGTAACAGAATCAGAAAATTAAAATTCTGTGATACAGAGTCATTCCCTGAATTAGGCTAAAATAGGCATTTTCATTTTGAACTCAGAAGTATTCTAAACTAGCTGAGTTTTATGCCACTAATAAACTTTTGAACATCATCAAGTATGTCAGTGATAAAGTGGTCATGTCAATCACCAAACAGAACTTTGTTTAAAAAGATGTACATTTAGTTAATCAATATACATGGCTAATTCCAGGAACTGAATCACACTAAATGTATTTTCTAAATTTATATGAATAATAACTACTATAATCTATTAACAAAGAAAACAATGTAAACTAGTTTCAGACATCTAAATCTGTGCAAAACTAAAGGAGTTTAAAAATTATGGGGTTTTTTTCCATAGAGTTTTTATTTTTCCAAAGAATTAAAGCTGAAGTGATTCTTGTGGTAGAGATTCAGAAATATTTTAACTTAAACCTTTGGCTAATGGATAATCAAGACTCAAATCTATGCTCTTCGTTTTAAATACATCTGAAACCTAAAAAAATGGAAGAGGTAGGAAGGAAAAAATATCATAACAGGATTACAGAGTGTTGTAAAGTACAATATATGAAAATGAGCATACAAAGTATTTAGATAAATGAGTGGGTTAGTAGTCACTCTACCAAGAAACAACCCCCGGTTTCTCTAAGTTTTTTTAAAAGGCAGGCTGTCTGATCACATATGGACTCTTCAGGATCTTTTTAAAAGAAAAAGGTTCGTTTGTTGTGTATTTCAAGCCAGAGTGTTCCCAAATATTTGCTAACCTAAGCTCTGGCTAAATCAGGGCAATTTAGCTTATCCGCAGTACCCCCAGATCAAACGAGCTTTTCTGAAGCTATGGATTCAGAGAAATCAAAAAAGTCAATATACTCACTTTATCACAATCTGTCCAGCAGTTTCCTCAGCTACAAAAAACTGCTATAAATAGTTCTGAGAAGTAGTCACTGCTGTCACTAAAACATTTCAGCCTCTGCATTTGTCACATTCATCAACTACCGGATGTGTCCAAGTTTCCTTCAGGAGATGCTGACTGATCAGTAACACACCTCCTCACTGCCACCTACCCCCGCTTTTCTTCTTTTAGTTTCCTGGCTGGTTATTACTCAAAGGCATAAAACACAGGGGATGTTCTTGGGCTCGACACCTTACAAGAAATATTTCTAACAAAAACATTTCTGTTTTCACAACTGTATGTCATTGGTGGCTCAGATGCTAAAGCATCTGCCTGCAATGCGGGAGACCCGGGTTCAATCTCTGGGTTTAGAAGATCCCCTGGAGAAGGGCATGGCTATCCACTCCAGTATTCTTGCCTGGAGAATCTCATGGACAGAGGATACAGTTCATGGGGTCGGAAAGAGCGAGTAACACACACACACACACATACACACACACAAAATACACAGCAGCCAATAAGGAAGAAACTGGTTACAAATACATGCAAAGTGGAAAGAGACAGAACTATGAATTTCCATACATGAATATAAAGAAGTAAGAATTCACAGGGGAAAAAAGGAGGATGTAGGGGGATTCTGCTAAACAAATCACTAATAAACTGAAAGCACCAGATGCTAATGCTTCCTCTCCTGGACATAAATCTGATTTATGCTTTCCCCATTTTAGCTGAAGCTGTCACAGTTTTGGAGGTTCACTGGTTTGATTTACATTAGATCATTGCTTAATCATTATTTTTTTTCCCAAGTTGGTAATTTTTGAAAAGAATGATACAATTGAGCAATTTAATTTTAATTTTTTTTTCAATCCTTCACCGCCTCATTTGCTATCAGATTTAGCGACATAAAGCTGAACGAGGATGAGTTGGTGGCTGAGGTCAAAGTGGCCTTAATGTCAAATTAAGTCAGCACCTATCCCTACTTTGTAAATGCAACATCTTAGCACCTACATGTGATCACTTCCTAAATTACATTATTTTGATCAGCAAACTGTGGCCTAACATGATTGAGGATAATGAACCCCCCAGGAGGAACAGTGCTTACCTCATCGGAGGCCAAGTACACGCAGAGCAGCGCTACTTCTTCTGCAGTTGCAAATCTTCCTGTTTTCTGTCTCTTTAGGAAATCGCTCAGTGCCTGCAACCAGAAGCCGTATCGGACATCAGTGATGTGAGCTGAACTACGAGTGCACCTGCAGCACCTTTAGGAGGTCAAAGGCAAGACGAATCTACAAAGGAACTGCCGACTTGATTAAGTACGCGTGATACAGGACACAGGACAATATCATTATTGATAATATCATTAACTGTGGGCCAAACAGGACTATGGTAACTCCCAAGCTACTCAAACTATTTGTTTTATATTAAAACCTATAGACACCATGATGGATCAGAAAGTTAGTACTAAAGAGGGCATTTTTACGTTTTTTTAAAATGTGGTAAAACGCACATGATATACAATTTACCAGCATAATCAATTTTCGTGTACAGTTCAGCAGTGTTAAGTACATTCACATTATTGTGGCACAAATCTCCAGAATTCTTTTCATCTTGCAAAACTGAAACCCTATACCCGTTAAAACAACTTCCGACCCACTTTCTCCCACCCCCTAGCAACCACCCTTCAACCTTTCTGTCTCTATGGATTTGTCTACTCTAGGTAAGGAAGGGGTATTTTTTTAAACAGCATGATTTAAACATTTAAAACAATAGCTATACCTCTTCAGGATTTGGTCTGGCTTGTATTCTTTCTTGCAGAGATGGGGTATCAACTGTTCCTAAATAAAAGGAGGGAATTCAGCTTGGTTACTTACTTAGACTGAAAAAGAAATTGACAATTAAACTTTAAACTTGCTTTCCTTATCATTCAATGATCAGTAAAATATTTCTTCATGACTTGGAGTGAGTTTCCCCTCTACCTGCCTGCCCTTTTATTTAACAGTCTTATAACTTCTTTAATAACGTTTTTATGATTTTCAAAAACACAAGCTATTCTTCTTTGTCATACTAGGCAGGGACTCTTGGTGAAGCACCCAGCATTCCCAGGACGTCCTTTGGTCTCACCACATTCAAATGATACTTTATGGATAACTTAGGTAGCTCTACATTCTCCTCATTATCTTGAAATTCTCACTGGTTTCAAATTCCTATTTTAACCATTGTTTCATATTTCTCATTGAAAAAATATAACTTTAAATTATCTTAATTAAAACAAGAAAAATAAAAATGACTAAAAATGTTTAAATTGTGAGCAGCAGTGAAGACCCAGCACAGCCATAAATAAATGAATTAAAAAAAAAATTTTTTTTAAATCCCACTTAGTTCACATTCCTTACAGAACAAGTTCCCAGGCATTTTTGTTAACTTCTGTGATCTGCAAATTCTCTTCATAGGGCCTTTCTTCTGCTCACAGTACTCCAGGAGGACCACATGATCCTTCTAAGGTCATAAAAAAATGATTTCACAGTCACAGCCCCAGCTCCATCCTTAGACCACACTCCTGGGTGTGTCATGGATTTGACGTTTGCTCGGAAACAATTTATTTCTTTTTTAGATTTTTATGGGGGTGTAATTGATTTACAATGTTGGGTTAGTTTCAGGTGTACAGCAAAGTGAGTCTGTTATACATGTACATATACCCACTCTTTTTTAGATTCTTGCCCTTATAGGCCATTCCCGAGTATTGCGTAGAGTTCCCTGCACTATACAGTAGGTCCTCATTGGTTATCTATATTATATAGAGTAGGGTGTGTATGTCCATCCCAATCTCTCAGTTTATCTCCCTCCTTCAAAACCAGAATCTCAATTTTATTATCATTTGCCATTTCTCTGGAGAGGCTGGGGATCTTCGAAACCTAAAAATCCTGGCTTCTTGCTGTTGGGCAGCCCTTAGCTTGTCTGTCTGCTCTCACATGTTACTATGAGCAGGCGGAAGCTTCCCCAGGCTGCGTAGCTGCGGCCTTGGCTGCATCGCCTGGCTCATCAGGAACAATTTCCACCCTTCAGTTACTGCAGGCAATAAGTGTTGATGAAATTTCTTACACCACACAGCAAAATCTCTTTGTATCCAATCTCTGATGATATTTTCCTCACTTCCCTCATCAACAGCCTCCTGAGAGTCCACAGTTCTACCAATGGTGTGCTCAAGGCAACCTCCTCAAAATTCTTGCTGCCCACTGGGGCAGATGCACACCATATCTTACATGTGACCAGTATTAATGACTAAGGGTTTCCTTTGTGGTTCAGACGCTAAAGAATCTGCCTGCAATGCAGGAGACCCAGGCTCGATCCCTGGGTCAGAAAGATCCCCTGGAGAAGGCAATGGCAACCCACTCCAGTATTTCCTGCCTGGAGAATTCCATGGACCGAGGAGCCTGGTGGGCTACAGTTCAGGGGGTCGAAGAACTGGACACAACTGAGCAACTAACACGTGAAGGCTGAGAGGCTAGCCGAGTCCTCTCACGCGATTCCAGCCGCCTGACCCCGCTGCGTCCCAGCAGACTGACGCACCATGCCATCGTCCGCACCCGTCTGGTGCTGAAGTGTTGTGACTCTACCATCAGTACCAGCCTAGACTCTCATTCTTCGTCACATTTTCTTCTGTGGCTGGCTCAGTGAGTCAAAGCTAGTTCCCTGTCCCAGAGAGTGTGAGGATATATTTTCCAGTCATCCAAAAAGTCCAGCTTTAAAACAACCACATTTTCCAAATCATTAGACATTTTATTCCATTGGATAAATGGCACCAAGAATAGCCAACAATATCACCAGTGTGTATGTTAAAACCTAGCAAAACTGTGTCTCTCCTGTCAGATCCTCCTCTTTCTGTTCTTAAAACATTTGTTTATTTATTTGTTTTAGCTGTGGCACATAGCATCTTCACTTGAGACATGTGGAATCTAGTTCCCTGACCAGGGATCAAACCTGGGCCCCCTGCAATGGAAGTGCAGTGTCTTAGCCACTGGACTGCCGGGGGAGTCCTGATCCTCCTCTTGGCTAGTGTTACTCAAGTTTACCTTTCTAGTCCAAGAAAAATTAAACAGAACACTTCAATCATGGAAATTCTGTAGCTCGAAGGTTACTTGGTAGCTTCACCCCTTTAATCCAATAAGTCAGTGGTTTTCAACCAAGGGGAGAGCGTGAAGGATGACATCAGAATCCCCTTTCCAAACCATACACAGTGTTCCCCATAGACTCCTTCCCTGAATTCTGGTGTGCCCCTTGGGTTTAGAAAGGTCTCACGGGTAATTCTGAAATGTTTCTCCTCCCCACCCCCCAACATCAGTTGTGAACTACGAAGAGAAACTTTGATTCTGGACATGCAATACTGAATTTGGTTTCAGAGGGGAAGTTGGTAATTCCTCTTCAGCACCCTGAACAGGCAGACCTCATTTTACTGCACTTTGCTTGACTGCACTTCACAAGTACTGCATTTCTTACAAATTGAAGGTCTTTGCAATGCTTCTTTGAGCAGGTCTACTGGCAGCATTTTTCCAATAACATTGGCTCACTTCATGTCTCTGTGTCACATTTGGTAATTCTTGCAATATTTGAAACTTTTTCATTATTACTGTATTCGTTTTTTTAAAATTAATTAATTTTTTAATTGAAAGATAACTGTTTTACAGAACTGTGTTGGTTTCTACCAAACACCAATATGAGTCAGCCATCGGTACACATGTGTCGCTTTCCTCTTCTGTGGGAGCGAACGGCCCTCCATCTGTGATCAGTGATCTATGATGTTACTATTGCAAAATGATAATGACTCACTGAAGACTCAGATGATGGTTGCATTTTTTTTAGCAATAAAATGTTTTTGAATTAAGACATACACATTGTTTTTTTAGGCACACTGCTATTGCACGCTTAATAGACTGCTGTATGGTATAAACATAAATGTCCTTTCTACTAATAATAATTTCTCCTGTTTTCCTTTCCTTTACTTGAGGGGCCAGCATACTTTTTAGTCAAAAGTGAGACAGAATGTATTTTTAGCTTCGAGAACCATTCGGTCTGTTAAAACTACTCAACTTTGACTTCAGCATGAAAGCAGACTTAACCAGTACAGAAACAAACTGGGTGGGATGTGTTCCAATAAAACTGTGTTTACAAAACAGGTGGTGAGTCAGACCTGGCCGGCAGACCACAGTTTGCTGAGCCCTTCTTTATGCATAAAGGAAGGTGTTAATCCCTCCTTTTTGTTTATGGGCCACCCCCAGGTGACTGACTCGACTCAGTGGCCCCCTGTGTCTGAAGGCTCTTTTTCCTTCCTGCTGTCCTGGGAGTACGGTCTACTTTTCACCTTTCCTCTGACAAGATCATCCTGGCCTGCTTCCAAAACACCAAGCCCGGGCCAGCTATGACCCTTAATCACAGGGTTTAGAATGGCCCCCATCCACACAAGTAGCATTTAAATACTTTCCATTTGTTAAATCAAAATGGCATCATTTGTGCTAAAGCCCATGATAGCAAACCTGTATTTAATGCTTAACCTAACTGCAGTTTCAGTCTTTACCAGAAATGGAATATTACCCAACCAGTCTGGAATTTTCTGGTCCACACCCAGTGAGGTAATTGACCTTGTTGGCCCGCTATGCCCCCAGAGGAAGAGGAGGCAATCTGTAACATAAAACTCATGCCATCCCCTCCTCCCTAGACTAGAACAGGGCTTCCCAGGTGGCGTAGTGGTAAAGAACACGCCTGCCAATTGCAGGAGATGTAAGAGACGTAGATTCAATTCCTGGGCTGCAAAGCTCCCCTGGGGGAGGAAATGGCAACCTACTCCAATGCTCTTGCCTGGAAAACCCCATGGGCAGAGGAGCCTGGCAGGCTTACAGTCCTTAGGGTACCAAAGAGTCGGACACGATTGAAGCAACTTAACACGCACACAGCCTAGAAAATCCTTTTCTTTTGCCAATGACTTCCTTGCCCCATCCTCCTTTCTGTAATAACTTTCCATTTGTATAGAACTCCTTGGAGCATCCATCTAGTTGCTAAACAGGATGCCACCTGATTTGTGAATCACTGAATACAGCCAATTAGATTTTCAAACTTACTTGGTTGAAGTTTGCTTTCTAACACATCTGCAGGTTGTTCCTAATGACTTAGGATCTTACTGCCAACTTACTGTGGGGCTATTATCTTAATAACCCGAGCCGCCTTTTCTTCCTGTTTAAGAACGTTATGGTTTATGCCGGAGTGCAGTTGCTTTCCACCGCTGTCTCTTTCTGCTCTGCTGCAGAGTGGATCAGCTGCATGTGTGCACATATCCCCTCCTGTCTGGGCTTCCCTCCCAGTCGGGGGTCCACAGAGCAACGAGTTGAGGTGCCTGTGCTATACGGTAGGTTCTCGTTGGCTCTCTGTGTTATACACAGTAGTACATACACGCCAACCCCAGTCTCCCCACTTGGCCCATTCTGCTCTCTTCCCTGTGGTGTCCGTGTTTGTTCCCTACATCTGTGTCTCTATTAGCCCAGGCTCTTTTTCTTTTGAGCTTTGCCCGGTGACAGCGCAGCAAGTGGTCAATGAGCCGACACAGACGCCTTTCAGGGTGGCAGCCAGAGGAGCAGAAAGGACAGGCTCCCGGTCCCACAGCGCCCAGCTCACCTGGACACACACAGTTGCACCGGATGCCCTGCTGGATGAAGTCTGCAGCCACGGACTTGGTGAGGCCGATCACGGCCGCCTTGGTTGTGCTGTACACGCACCTGTTCACAACTCCTGAGGAGGAAAGAAAGGGTTAGTCGCTCAGTCGTGTCCGACTCTCTGCGACCCCATGGACTGTAGCCCGCCAGGCTCCTCTGTCCATGGGATTCTCCAGGCAAGAATACTGGAGTGGGTTGCCATGACCTCCTCCAGGGGATCCTCCTGATCCAGGGATGGAAACTGGGTCTCCTGCATTGCAGGCAGATGCTTTACCACTGAGCCAGCAGGGCATATCATACCTGAGAAGGAGGGGAAGAAGAAATAAAAAGCGCAGTCTCCTTTAGGAAGCAGGAGACCATTGTCCTGCTTCCTCACACTCCACCCTTTTAAAAATTGCTGTCAGTTCTTTTCCATTAATAGGGCTAGTTTCTGAATCTGGGGAAATAGTATCATTGTTGGCACAATTCAGATGAGACTTCCATGTTGAGATGCTACATTTAAGTGAGAGCTGTAGCCTTAGCTTTTTGTCATCAATTGGTAGAACCCTTAGGCAGATTCCAAAAAAAAAAAAAACCCAAAATAAACAACTAGGATAAATCAAAGTGAAACAAAACACAACCCAAACAAACCAATTTCTTTGTATGCCTCTCCCAGGAGGGCTTACTGTGTATCCTTGCTGAAAGAAGGAATGTTATCTCAGCAGTAGCTCCTGCATTCTAAACTGGAAAATCCACCTGTACCGTCACGCATCATCTCCATGTCTGCATCGTAGTCTGGCCCTGCAGCGTGACCTCCCACTCAGGGCTGGACCACACGTCCTTGGGCAGCTCTCCCCAATCCACGGGCAGAGTTCCGTCACTGGTATCACGACAGCACGCTGCACAAAGCTCTGTTCTAATCCTATCACGCTGCAGAAGACGTGTGTTTCCCCATCTCTCTCCCCTTTTGGGGCTGTGGATTCTCTGGGGCCAGGGGCATCTAGTGGATGTTCAGTACATCTTTTTTGATTAATTAAATGGATAAATGTTTCCTTCTCCCATTTTGATCTTCATTTCCATATCCATTTAGAGGGGAAAAAAGGGAAGGCAAAGCAAGCAAACTTTAGTTCCATGATTGGTTCACATATAAGGCAAAAAGCTTGGTCCTTAATTCCAGTTTTAAAAAAAGCAATTTTGAACTCATGTGTGGGTTACATGATCTCTGCTATGCTTGTTCCCCAAATCCTTAAGCTCCTGAAGATGTGTCAGTCCGTGGGTCATGATTCCCAGAGGAAGACACGCCTACCTTTGATGCTGGAAGCCACAGAGGACATGTTGATAATGTTGCCAGATTTCTGAGCCAGCATCTGCCAAAACAAAACAAAGATAGAAAATCCCCCCAAAACATGCTATTCTGCAGGTTAAAAATTCTACCTCTTCCAAAGATGTACATTTGGTGCTTTCCTGGTGACTCAGTGGTAAAGAATCCACCTGCCAATGCAAGAGGCGTGGATTCGATCTCTGATCGGGGAAGATCCCACATGCAGTGGAGCAACTACACCCATGCACGGCCACTCCTGAGCCTGCTCTAGAGCCCGGGAGCTGCAACTACCGAAGCCCACGGGAGCTAGAGTCTCCCGTGTCCTGCAAGAGAGAAGCCCTTCAGTGAGAAGCCTCTGTGCAGTGACTAGAGAGTAGACCCCGCTCTCAGACATTAGAGAGCAGCAACAAAGAGCCAGCACAGCCAAAAATAAGAACTAAACTAAAAGACGTGGTGGTGGTTTAATTGCTAAGTTGTGTCCGACTCTTGCAACCCCGTGGACTGTAGCTCTCCAGTCTCCTCTGTCCGTGAGATTCTCCAGGCAAGAACACTGGAGTGGGTTGCCATTTCCTTCTCCAGTGGATCTTCCTGACCCAGGGATCAAACCCAGGTCTCCCACATTGCAGGTGATTCTTTACCAACTGAGCTACGAAGGAAGCCCCAACTCAAAGATGTACATTTACTTACAGTTTGCAGAGCTACCTTATTAACTGTTAACACTAAGCACCGTGAAGCAGCCTTAACGGCCTCACCCAGTCACTCCTGGGAACTGACGGCCTGTGTACACATTGGCAGGAACTTTACTCAAGGGGTTACTGCCTTCTTGGGGCACAGGAGCATCAGCAAGACCAAGAAGGGACCCTGAGCTAAATGAAAGGCTGATGAATGTTAGTGTTACTGTGTGTTCCTAATGGAAAACTCTTACCATTTAACACATTCTTGTTGAATACCTACTGTGGTCAGGTACAGAATCACGACCAGTGATTCAAAGACAGACGACTCAGTCCCTGCCTGCCTGTAGAACTACCATTCTGATCCAAGTGCAGCAGGAATGTCATCTCAGCAGTAGCTCCTTCATTCTAAACTCAAAAATCCACCCGTACCATCATGCCTCATCTCCATGTCTGCAGAGTCTGACACCGAGGAGCGGGGTGTGGAGAGAAGGAATCAGCCCAGGTTGAGGGGCATGCAGAGGATGGCTGATGTTTCGAAAGCTAGAATATTAGTTAGAAAAAGAAAAGAAAAGGGTATTTTGAGGATAGTAAACCACTGTATAAAGACTCTATCACAGAAGTGGGGGATGGGATGAGTGCAGCTGGAACACATAATTTGGGAGGAAGGAGGCTGCAGAGACCAAAGGGGCTAAATTTAGGAATTCGGGTTAAAACCAGAAGGCAGTGCGGTGGAGACAGTGAGAGGTTTAAAGCAGAGGGCAGTGGCGTGCTCAGATTTGCAGGTTACAAAAATTACCCTGGCCTCATGCACAGGGGATCACTGGAAGATGATGCAGGGATTTAGGAAAGGAGATGCCGCAGTGATAAAGAATCTGCCTGTCAGTGTAAGAGATACAGGTTCGATTCCTAGGTCAGGAAGATGCCCTGGAGTTGGAAATGGCAGCTCACTCCAGTATTCGTGCCTGGGAAATCCCATGGACAGAGGAGCCTGGCAGGCTGCAGTCCATGGAGTCGCAGAGTTGGACACGGCTGAAGGGTAGAGACCAGAGATGTCTGTGGGCAATACGGGTGGAGACAGTCGAGGTGACTTGGACAGGTCTTGGGACCTGGCTGCCTGCTGTGAGGGCTGTACCCCCACTCCACCTAAGGCAGTGTTACCCAACAATACCTCCATCAGAAGCCCCCATGGAAAGTGTGAAGGTCTTAAGGGGAGGGTGTGTGGCTGTTTTGCCTTCGGAGACAGGGTACCCAGCAGCCAGTCAGTATACTTAGTAAATCAAGACTTTGTGAGGTGCTAGGTTCAAGTGCAGATGGCTGAGCTCTGCCCCAGACCTAAAAGGGTACATCAGTGAAAAAAGCTGCCAAGAGTTAAAAATGTTTTCAGAGGAACTTATACTTAAAAGACATATGTATGTTTTCAAGAGATACACATCTGTGCAAGGGCATGGGTAGTGTGAAAGTGTTAGTCACTCAGTCGTGTCTGACTCTTTGCGAGCCCATGGACTGTAGTCCGCCAGGCTCCTCTGTCCATGGGATTTTCTAGGCAAGAATACTGGAGTGGGTTGCCATTTCCTTCTCCAGGCCCGACTCAGGGATCGAACCCAGGTCTCCTGCATTGCAGGCAGATTCACATGGGTACCCACCCACGAATGTTTGAGGGGGAAGAAGCGAGAGTTGGAGAGAATGCCTGTCTAATGGGTGTTGCAGCAAAAACAGAAATGAAGCTTTTCCTCTGCTGAGAGCAAGGAAAGGAAAAGAAACTGACCAGACTGGAGAAGAAATATAAACAGGCCTGAAAGAGTTAATCACTCCCAGCTTAACTATAACGGTTACTAGTCTGTATCTCACAAAACTAACCAGACACTATGTAAATTACAACCTGCACCTACTGCCCCTTAACTCTATGTAAATTACATCGTGGACCAGGTGCTCACCTTCCCCCTTCTTTTGCAGACTACCGCTTGTAGCTTTTTGCATTTCAAAAGAGGGCCACAGTATGATAAACCACAGACAAATGGACCTAGTTACTGGACTGCCAGGCCCAATTATGGGCTACCTGATGGCAACCCACTCCAGTGTTCTTGCCTGGAGAATCCCAGGGACAGCGGAGCCTGGTAGGCTGCAGTCCATGGGGTCGCTAAGAGTTGGACACGACTGAGTGACTTCACTTTCACGTTTCACTTTCATGCATTGGAGAAGGAAATGACAACCCACTCCAGTGTTTTTGCCTGGAGAATCCCAGGGACAGACAGGGGAGCTTGTTGGGCAGCTATATATGGGATCGCACAGAGTCGGACACGACTGACGTGACTTAGCAGCAGCAGCAGATGCCAGCTCTGATTGTTTTGAAACAAGAAGAAGCATGCAACACTCTCACTGCTTCGCTCCTTATCACATACCCCAAACTGTGAGCCCAATCTATATGATGCCCTCAGATTCCACATGTGGGGGGCACAGTTCTTGAGGTAGTAGCCTACTGTGTACTCCTCTTGGCCCACTGGGGATTAAAGCCATTTTCCTCCTTTCTCCAAGCTCTGTCTCTGTACTTACTTATTCTGCATCAGTGGGCAGAGAAAGTCAAGATTTTGGTGGTAATATGGGCACGAACTCATTGAAATCAGAGGGTGTGGGGATGACTGTAGGGAACAAGGAGGAGATGGTGAAGAGTCAGAATAAGTGCTGGGGGAGATGAAGAACACAGGAAGGAAAACCGGGACATGCCCTGTTATGAAAGGCAAGGACACAAAGAGTTTCTACGAGGGAGGAGTCTCTGTAGGCAGTGTAAAGGCTCTAAGAAAAAAAATCACTTCCGTTGGGGCAAGTTTCTCCAGCAGCTTTCAAAAGATGAGGAATGGAGAAGGCATATGGTTCAATGACCCAGAGATGAATTGGCCAAGATTCTATGTTTCCCTCTGGCATTCTTACTTTCTGTTTTGATACTTAGCTACTAACTGTACTTAAGAGCAGAAAGTCTAAAATAACCGTAAGATCTTATGTTGGATGGACTAAAAGGACACAAGGAGAGACTGAGGTCAAGGTGGCAGAAAAAGAAAATATTTAACCCAACTTGTGTGTCTATATGATAAAGAGGAGTCCTCATAATAAAAGACTAGGAAAATTAGCAAAGTATAACAGTGCTGAAAATTAAGCCTTAAAATTATTTTCTTATCCATTTTATCAAAGAACATAANGGAGATCCAACCAGTCCATCCTAAAGGAAGTCAGTCCTGAATATTCATGGGAAGGACTGATGTTGAAGCTGAAACTCCAATACTTTGGCCACCTGATGCAAAGAGCTGACTCATTTGAAAGACCCTGATGCCGGGAAAGATTGAGGGCAGGAGGAGAAGGGGACGACAGAGGATGAGACGGTTGGATGGCATCACTGACTCAATGGACATGGGTTTGGGTGGACTCTGGGAGCTGGTGATGGACAGGGAGGCCTGGCGTGCTGTGGTTCATGGAGTCGCAAAGAGTCGGACACGACTGGGCGACTGAACTGAACTGAACCGACCTACGTTAGTTAATTCCCCAGTCTCACCGAGGTGTAACTGAAATACACATGGGATACATGTGCTGTTGCTGTGCGTTCCCAGTCACTCAGTCACGTCTGACTTTCTGTGACCCCATGGACTGTCACCCACCAGGCTCCTCTGTCTGTGGGATTCTCCAGGCAAGAATACTCAGGTGGGTGGCCAGTCCCTTTTCTAGGGGATCTTCCCAACTCAGGGATTGAGCCTGCATCTCCTGTGTCTCCTGCATTGACAGGCAGATTCTTTACTGCTGAGCCACACGGGAAGCCCATGGAATATATGAAGCCCAGTGGGGGCTCCTTGGGTGGCTCAGTGGTAAAGAATCCACCTGCCAATGCAGGAGACAAACACAAGAGACATGGGTTCAATCCCTGGGTGGGGAAGATCGCCTGGAAAATGGAATGGCAACCCACTCCAGTATTCCTGCCTGGAGAATTCCACGGACAGAAGAGCCTGGTGGGCTACAGTCCATGGGGTCACAAAGACACAGACACGATAACATGATTGAGTGCGCGCACACACACACACACACACATACACAGTTTAATTTATAAAGATGGACTATTGAATAAATTCTGTCTCCCATCTTCTGAAATGCAATAGATTCCTTAGGCAGAACTTTGGAGTACAGTCACCTGGGATATGTTAATGCTGCCCTCTAACCCTTGGACTACGCGTTTAGCCCAGGTCTGCCGGCTGATTCCAGAACCCACAGTCCTTGCCTTCCTCCCACGCTGCCTTCTCACCACCAGCTCAGACCTGCTGTCTTGCTGTGAATGCTCCTCTCTGGCAGGTGCGACAATAAAATGAAGTGCCCGGACACGGCAGGGCTGTCAAGCATTGACCTCTCAGAGACTCAGGCAGGTGCTGCAAAGATCTCTCAAGACTCCCTCTCGCTGTATCTAGTGAGTCCTACTGTGAGCTCTTCTGCCCTCCCTGACCAGAGCTCAGCTCCTGAATTTGGCAGACCTTGGCTTGTCTTCAGCGAGTCCATGCCTGACCTCCATCTGGACTGACAACCGAGATTTATTTCTTCATCCAGCAAATGTCTGCTCAGCACCTCAATGTGTGAGGGACTCTGCTAAGATTCAGCAAAGGAGGAAGACCCCCAAATATCTAAGACCCTCCAGGATCCTTGCTGTAATGGATCTTCTCTTCTGGTGGGCCTTGGATTCTGCACTGACCTCCTTTTACAGTATTTTTAATTTATTCTCTGCTTTTTCAGTGCTCTTTGAGTCTTGGAATGGTTTTCTGTATGCTTACTCAGGAACCCTGGAGTCCATGTGGTCGCAAAGAGTCAGATAGGACTAAGCAACAACAATAACAATTCATGAACAAAAATTTCTAGTATTATTCCTGTGTTTTGACCACCTGACCTTACAAATCTGCCTAGACTCCAAACTCTGGCTTCCCCTGGAAAGTTCTAAGCTGGTACATGTGCATCATAGTTAAGGAACATAATTACAGCTGGAAAGGATTGTGGAATCTGTCACCCTCATTTTAAATAGAAGAAACAGATGCTGAGAGAGTGCAGAGTCACCTCCCAGGTCCCGTGGTGACTTAGGGGCAGGGCTCAGGCCTGCCTAAGGTCTTCCGACACCTGATTCCAAGACCCCAGGTCAGGTCAGTTAGGGTCACTTGAACAAGTGACACCTTCTGATTTCTCATCCCAGTCATTAATATCTCTTGGGATTTTTTACACATGAGTGTCACTGACTCACATGGATTATTGTTAAATGCTTTACCTCTTAGGCAGACTCACTAATTTGGAAGTTAGCATTTGATATTTTAAAAGTTACCACTTAACAAGTCTAAATTTTGGCTCCACCGTACCTCACACCTACATCCTTCCCAGTGTCTGCCAGACATTCGGTGTACAGATGTGTCGCCTATACACGCAACAGTGTTATCCATCTGACTTAAGCTTCCTCTTTTACCATAGCCTCTGCTTTTCCTCTGATACTATGCTAAGGATCAGTCTTCAAGAAATACACTCCAGTTCAGATTCTCATGAACTCCAATCAGGCAAAAAAAAAAAAAAGCAATCCTGGGAATTCCCTGGTGGTCCAGCGGCTAGGACTGCATATCCACTGCTGCGGATGCAGGTTTGATCCCTGGTAAAGGGAACGATGATCCTGCATGCCGTGTAGTTTGGCCAAAAAGAAAAAAATAAAAGGAGAAAGTTTTAAAAATGTATATTTTAAAAAAATTTGCTAGTTCAACATTCCATGTTTATGTTAGTTGCTCAGTCGTGTCCGACTCTGCGACCTCATGGACTGTAGCCCACCAGGCTCCTCTGTCCGTGGGATTCTCCAGGCAAGAATACTGGAGTGGGTTACCATTCCCTGCTCCAGGGGATCTTCCCAACCCAGGGATCGAACCCAGGTCTCCTGCATTGCAGGCAGACGCTTTACCATGTGAGCCACCAGGGCCAATCCAAAGATTTCTTCTAGATGCTAAAGAAGTAGATTAAAAAAGTTCCTCATTACTAAGTCACTTTCTCCAATTTTCCTTTTAGCTTTCATCTGTATCCTTCTTGACGTTAGGCTTAATGTCCACAGCAAAGTATCAGCAACTGTGTTGCATCAAACAACTCATCTCCCGCCCTGGGCTGGGGTGGCATTCACCATGTCAGCCATCCAACCCAGCCGGGATGGAAGAGAGGAGCAGCTCTCCTGCATCTCACTAGGGTTCAATTTACAACCCTGAACGGAGCCGGTTCTGTACAAAGTCAACCTCGGTCATTGTCTGAGCCTGTGCTGTCTGCTCCTACTGCCTCACAAGCTCATTTGAAGTCAGTGTTTTTCATATTTATGTTCCCCTCCCCCAGAGCACCGAGTGTGGTGCTCTCAACTGAAAGGCACGTAATGCTTGCCTGTAAAATAAATTTAAAACAGTGATGAGCTGTGCGAAGGCTGGTGAATGCCAGGGCAGCAGACTCAGGAGGAATACTCTCTCTCTAGCACACGCTGTCTCTCACCTTGCTGGTACCTCTGTCACTCAGCTGAAAGCAGGAGTGCAAGGCGAATACTCAGGGTACAGAAAAGCAATGAGAGTGTGTGCCTAGACACTGACATTCAAGAAGGGTCCCGTGGTTAAGACTCTGCCCGCCAATGCAGGGGACAAGCAAGGACTAACCCCTGGTCTGAGAAGATCCTACATGCCGCAAAGCAACTAAGCCCTTGCGTCATGGCTACTAAGCTGGTGAGCTGCAATTACTGAAGCCTGCACACCTAGAACCTGTACTCCATAAAGAGAGAAGTCCCCATAATGAGAAGCCCTTACACCACAACTAGAGAGGAGCCCCAGCTCCCTGCAACTAGAGAAAGCTCCTGCACAGCGACAGAGTCACTCCAGCCATAAAGAAAGAAAGGAAGGAAAGGGGCCCAACTTCTAGGGTTCAAATCCTGGCTCTAACCACTTACTAGTTACATGGCTAGTTATTTGACTGGTCACATGAGCTCGGGCAAGTTATCTAACCCCCAGCTTCATCCCTCTGCACCCTGGATGTGATAAAGCAGTCCCTACCTCATCAGGCTGCTTTGGTCCCACAAGCCTCCTTGCTGTCCCAATCCCTGGAACCCAATCCAGATACCTGAACGGTCAGCTCCCTCACTTCCCTGGGACCTCTATGAACATTACATCTTTTCAGTGAGGCCTTCCTGGACCTCTCTGATAACCTAGCATCTTTTTAATTCACAGTACTCACAACCATCCCACATGTTATACGTTTATTTGATGACATAGTATCCCATCTCACCCCTCAAACACAGGACCTTCACTATGGAAAGAACTTTGTTTAGCTCTTTGATGCCTTCTTCATCTGAAATGCAGCCTGGCACATAGCCCTTGAGTGAATGAAGTGGAAAGTTAAGTGAGTTCATTTCTATTAAATGTCTTGATATACATGTTCAATACGGGTTAGTCAGCATGTGAGCTATTATCAGAGTGGGGACCCTCTCTGGATGTCTGGCGTGGAGACCCACTTATTCCCTGGTGCTTCTGCTAGCGATACTGGTCACCTTACCTTAGGAAGAAAAGCCTTGATCATCAGGTACATGCTGCGGACATTGAGGTTCATCGAGAAGTCCCAGTCTGTCTCCTCACAGTCCAGGATGGTTCCATGATGGACGAAACTGGAAGAGTGATTAAGCAATGGGGAAAATGATCATCCTAAAAAACTGGTGAATCTCCTTATCCTTTTCATTGTTCTTTATTGGCTCAGATCATTGTCCCTTCCATTACCAAGACTATTAACAATTCAAACCTAGTATCACTTAGTACATTAAGTGAAGTATTCTAACAACATAAGCTTAAAAAGTTGAAGACCAAAAACATCTTTTAAAAGAAAGCAGGAGTTTGGAAACTAACAAACATAAGAAAATTTATACCAATTGCACAGGAAAATCCCTGTCATTAAAAACAAACATGGATTTCCTTGGTGGTCCAGTGGTTAAAAATTCAGGTTCCAGTGCAGGAAACATGGGTACCATCCCTGGGCAGGGAAATAAGATCCCACATGCTGAAGACAACTAAGCCCACTTGCCTCAAGCAGAGAGCTCGTGGGCCTCAATGAAAGATTCCTGCATGCTGCAACTAAGACCGGATGCAGCAAAAATTAAACATTTGAAAAATCCAAAACCAAAGAAATGCGAACAAGCTGCAAAACGATTATTTCAAGAGCAAGAATGCCCTCTGGTGGCACAAATTTAACATTCTCAAGGGAAATCAAAACTCCAAGGAAAATTCCCCAGGCAAGAATACTGGAGTCGGCTGCATTCCCTTCTCCAGGGGATCTTCCCGACCCAAGGATCAAACCTCGGGTCTCCTGCATTGCAGGCAGATTCTTTACCATCTGAGCCATCAAGGAAACTCATTAAAAAAAAAGAGAGAACAGACTGCTTAACTACTGTTTCAAGAGCGCCCTCTGGTGGCACAAATTTAACATTCTCAAGGAGAAGTCTAAACTCAAGAAGACAAGTCTCAACATCTCAGGGTAGCAAAGTAGTACCCCTGCTGTACAGTTCTAATATTTCGAGTAAACATTGCAGAAGAAAGCAAAAACTTTCATATAAACTTCACTCTTTTTTGAAGTCACACTTCCTCAAGGAAGCTTTCTAAACACTTGAGTCCTACTTGATTTCACTGTCCCCTGGACCAAAATTATGTAATTAAGTATAAAAGATGGTTGGTTCTGATTCCTATGCACCACTGTATTTCCAGTTAAACTGAACGACAGCAAGAACCACATGCTCTATTTCTGTATCCCTTAGGTTGCTGAAAACTTAACAGATGCTCAAAAACTAATTTTGCTAGTTCTTTCCACGGCTCTGCGTATATCCTCATATGAGGGATGAGCAGGTTATTTATAAACCTGATCATCACAAATTGTTGCTATAACTTAATTTCCATACATTGTAACATATGATAAGCTATGAATGCAGAGATTTTTTTTTTTTAAACTCTGAATCATGATTGGGTAAAACCACAAAACTATATTAGAATGTTCTAGGATTCTTCTACCAATGCAGGAGCATAAATGTAACACTACCTAAGAAAAGTGGGACATCTGGAAGGTATCTACTGAGATCCTATTTACTCGCATCTACTGACACCCCTGAGAAGGGAGAGTGGCTTCCAGCAGGGGCTGTATCTACATGCAGCGGCTCCAGTTTGAGCTCTGCATTCATGGTTCAGGAAACTTGGCACCACTCCATGACATTCAATTAAGCCATCCTCTTCGTGTTGTGTATAAAGGTACAATGTGAACCTTCTTTTGCTGGGACTGACTGTCCCAATAAGAAACACTGAGCTTGGGAAGTATAAAGAACTTGCTAGAATGTGCCAAAAAACTGGGGACATTCACATTTCAATAACCTGAGTACTTGGCTTCTGGTAAATATACTCTGATAGAGGGTCATTTTAAAGAAACCCTACTGGAAAAGTTTTTCATATTATTTTATCAGTCCTAGTGGAGCATCAGTGACAAGTCCATTGGCATGAGCCTGGTACCAGCCCTGAAAAAAGCAATAGCTTCATGTTAATGCTGGTGCCTTGAGTGACCCTAACTGCCTGTAGACCCCAAGCCTCTGTCAATGTCTATGGCTGTTTTACTTGCTGATCTTACCTGTAATAAAAATTCTGTCTAAAATTTTAGCCATATTCCCCAAGGAATATATTATGGTTCACAACGAATAATTTTGCTCTATCAAAATTCTTTGTGTGAAAATTGCAGAAAGCTTTCTGTAAGAAGAGTGGAAGTGAAAAGTTGTGAATTACCCAGCAACATTAAAGAGAACATCAAGTCTCTCAATGTCATTGGCAAACTGGTCAATTTGCTTCTTCTTTGTGACATCAAGGACCCGAGTCTGAATACCTGAAATATAAAACAAAGGGCACTATTTGCCTGTATCCCTAAAGGATGTTTAGCCTTGAAGATTCAGCTGTTTCCAAGCATGAACATGGTAATACCTGTATGGTAGGCTTCACAGGACCGCTGCCCATTCGCAGGGTCTTCATAATCCTAAGACTCTCAGTAAAAACCTTAAGTCTCCCCATTTGACCTCCCAATAACGCTTCTCTTTCTCCTTCCCCTTCTCTCTAGCCTCTAAATTGAATGATAAAGGTCTTTTCTGAGTAAAGACTTCACAGTGACATAGGGATGATCGACAGCAGACGCATCTCAGTAAGCCAGCAGTAATCGCTGCGAGTCGGCTCATTTCAGCCCATTCTTTCCCCCAGAGGTCAAGGCCCTGCTCCAGTGATGCTGGACTCTGTCTGTGTGAAGGGGAAAGGCAGGGGCAGTGGATAAGGTATCGTTTTCACTTGTGTACTTTACCTTTATGTTAATTCTGTTATTTTTCAGAAATGACTCTGCTGGCCAAAGGTATCATCACTTATTTCTGGACCAAATTACAAGGAGAAGAAATGAGAGGCCAGACGAAGGGATGAAACACTTGAAAACCGGCCACAAGAGATCTGGCATGGGGGTGTGAGAGATACACACCGCACCAGCCACTCAAAAACCTCTGAACATTCTCAAATGAAAGCAGCAGTCATTATCTTTATGTTTTTTTTTTTTTTAAATACATGGTTCATTATTCTCTTTTGGATATAGAAAGAACAGTTTATAAACAGAAAGGGAAGACTGAAACCGAGGTTCAGAAAGACCTCCTTTCTATTGTGCGTTTCTATTCCAACAGCTTGATTTGTTGGAATTACAATTCAAGATAGGCTAGTGCAGTTAACTAGGTCAGAGCAGATAACTAGGTCAGTGAACTGATCTGTGTTGATCATGGAACCTGTTCCATTCAACTTCCAAATAAGTTCTCTGTTCTGATTTCTTTCAGAGTAACCTGAAGCTCTCTGAAGTTGGAGTTAGGTTCAGTGTGGTGCAGCCAGTGGCAGAAAGAAACTGTTAGTTGCCCTCTGCGACTGAGTGACTCTCTGCAACCCCGTAGGCTGCGGTCCACCAGGCTCCTCTGGCCGCGGGATTCTCCAGGCAAGAATACTGGAGTGGGTTGCCATTTCCTCCTCCAGGGGGTCTTCCTGACCCAGGGATAGAACTTGGGTCTCCTTCATTGAGGGCGAATTCTTTACTGTCTGAGCCACCAGGGGAGCCCATAGTATAAGGGGTGATAAACACCTAAATTATCTCTTAGAGACTCTGGTCGTGATATGTAATGTTAGGGCTGAGCTGTTTCCAGCCACTGGCTGCATGTGGCTACTGAGCCCTTGAAGTGTAGCCAGTCTGGTTGGAAACGTGCTGTTAAGTGTAAAATACACACAGGTTTCAAGTATTTAGGAAAAAAATGTAAAATATCCCATTAATAATTTTTATCGTGACTACATTAAAATTACAGTATTTTATATATGTTGAGTTAAATAAAATATATTCTTAAACTTTTCACCTGTTTCTTTTAACATTTTAAATGTAAAGTTTAAATGCATATTTTACTAGAAAAAATTATGCCTGTGAAAAACATCATGTTTCTCTTGGACACTGCTGGCCTCAGAGGAGGGGGGCTCAGAAGTAAGAAGTTGTCATAATGACTGTTAAATGGTCACATCTGATTTCATAATTAGCTACTGAATCCTTTGACATGTCGGATAAATAAAAAATTTTAAGTATGCACCTTAAAATCTTTGTTCATACATTTAAGTGTACAGATTTTTGTCTGTAGGCTCACAGAATACAAACTGGATATCAGAGAATCTGGCTCTAAAAAGAAGCCCCGTGGAGCTGAACAGCTAAGGAATTTTCTCTCAGCATGTAAGGTGCTAATGCTTCATAATCCCTTGTAGACTCCAATCTCAAAATCAAGCTATGGAGGTGCTTACCTGGGCACTTTTCCAGTTCCTGAAGTTTGGATTCATTGATATCTGTGGCTATGACTTTGGCACCTTCTCTTGCAAAAGCCTGGTAGACACAATGCGCAAATAAATCCTTTGTTAACTGCTGTCATGAACCGAGAGTCACTTAGCCTCTCCCCTTTATCTTACTGTCGCTATTGTTTTCCCCATGAAATAGGTGAAATTTCACACTACCTAGTCTCACCTCGTTCCGCACAATTCTTACCGAATTTATCACTAATTGGACAATGGGACACACACTTGCTTGTCAGTTGCCTTTGTCCCTGTGTGTGTGTGTGTCTGTATTTGGGCTCAGTTGCTCAGTCATGTCCCACGGACTGTAGCCCACCAGGCTCCTCTGTCCATGGAATTCTCCAGGAAGCATCCTGGAGTGACTTGTCATTCCCTTCTCCACAGGATTGTCCCGACCCAGGAATCGAACTTGAGTCTCTTGCATCTCCTGTATTGGCAGGTGGATTCTTCACCACTGTGCCACCTGGGAAGCCCGACTTTGTAATACCAAATAAATATATTTTTTAAAAAATCTAGGATTCAGTTATTGAACACCTCTCAAAATACTACCTTTCTTTGATTTTACAGCCTGCATTCTATTTCTCAGCAGCGACTAAAATCCAAATAATAAGAGAAAAATGGGTTATTTCAACACTTTTCCCCTTAATAAAAGTGGATTATTAGCTCATGTGGGGGTTTCATGTGCGAGAGGTTGATATAAATTAGAAGGCAAAGATAACTTGATAGTCTCATAAATTTGGAGTCCTACCTCTGAAATGACATAATTTCAGAAAACAATGCACTTCTGTAGGGCCCCTTCAGTGACTTTATTATGGTGCAGAGAAACTGAGGTAGACAGATAAGTTTCTGTCTGCAGGTTACCAGTCTGTAAGTAAGTTTCTGTCTGTAAGGTTATCAGTGATGTCACAGGATAAATGTGAGGTATTCATTCCTTCATCTGCCTGGAGTCGGAGTAGCCACTTTTCTTTTTGCAACTTAAGACAACAGAAGCACAAAAGCAAAGAAAAAAAAAAAAAAAGAGCAGAACTAAATAACCACGGTACCTGGCCCCATACTTCGGTGCCTCAAAAGTTAGTAAGCAAGCAACAGAAGGTGATAACTTACCAACGCGGCTGCCCGGCCGATCCCCTGACCAGCAGCTGTGAGGACAACGACCTTCCCATCAAGTCGGCCCATCCTGGCACCTGCGGTTTAATCTACAGACGTGTGTATTCAATGGCTTACACGGTAGCCCATGGCCTCATGCAGTAACATTTAGAAGGAATGGTTCAATGGACTCATTTAAGAACCTGAAGATACACACCTCTGTCAAACATTCCCATCACCTGAGAATATCCCCATCGATCTCCAAGAACGCTTACCCTAAATACCGAGCTTTGCATATAAGAACATTTAGCAAAGCCCTGGTAGCTCAGTCAGTAGAGAATCTGTCTGCAATGCAGGAGACACAGGTTTGATCCCTGGGTCGGGAAGATGCCCTGGAGAAGGGAATGGCAAGCCACTCCTGTATCCTTGCCTGGAAAATGCCATGGACAGCGGAAGCTGGAGGGGTGCAGTCCATGGGGTCATAGAGTCGGACATGACTGAGCCACTCACACACACTGAAGCGGTAGCTGATGACACACAGACGTCAGACTTCAAGCCATCCTCAGGTCGTTTCAGCCTCTGCTGCTGATACATACAGCCCACCACCGTCCTCCCCTCTGCCCCTCCCTGCAAACACTGCATGGGTCCTCCCTACTTGGGACTGCTTCTTGCTTCCTCCCTTGTACACTTTTCTTGGGGTCTGTGCTATCAATCATCTGTGGTCTGTCCAGGTCTCTTGGGAAGATTTCACAGTTGGCCTATGAGAGTCATTGAAAAATAAGAGTTGGGAAGTCAGATCCTGTCCAAACCCCCCTTTTACATCTGAGGGAACTGATTTGACCTGCTCAAGGTCACAGAGCTGGTCAACGGCAAAGCCGGGACTAATGTCAGGCCTCCTGACTCTTCCCTATGTGAATATCCTACCCCACAGTGCTGCTGATTAAAGTTTGAGCATTCAACAGTAACACTTGAACAGACACAAACAGTGATTTTTAAAAGGGAGGACTGAGGATGTCTGACATAGGGGAAATATGATGTACAGAAGATACCTGCTCAATTCTTGGACTGTAACAGATCACAGGGTGACAGGAAAGGCTAGTGACAGGGTTACAGGTAGTGAAGAGTCAAGTGATGATCAGACGAGGCTGTCTGCAAGGAACCAAGTCCTTTCTCTCACCCTGCAGCTCTTAGTGTGTGCCTCTGACTGCACAACAAGGCACAAAATGGCTGCATTCTCCCAAGACATCACATCTGCATTCCAGGCAAAAAAGAAGGAAAGGAGCAAAAGCCAGAAGTCTTTCAGAGACCTTGCTTCTCTATTTTGGAAGGGAGCCCTCCTCTGAAATTCCAGCCCATGTTTTGTTGGCCAGCTTCAGCAGCAGAGGTTAAGAATTTGAGTTTTATTTTCCAGTCTTTATAAAGTGAAAAGGGTAGGGGTCGGGGGAGGCGAGTTGGGTGTTGAGTGAGCTAACAAATAGCACATGCACAAAATAATCTTCCCAGTCTGCTCATTACCTGTCTGATGAAGAGTGCATCCAATCATTTCTTTTTGAACTTATCTCTGTTCTCATCAGCCAACCTTGGCTTTTTGCGGTAACTCGCCTACACTTTCAAGCCTCCAACCTTTGTCCCAGCTCTCCACGCTGAGGGCTAGTTACTCCTGTGGGGTAATCGGTACCGGAGGCTTTGAGAGCAGGACATGACCAGATGTGCATTCTGGAAAGCTCACTGGAGAGCAGGCCTGGGGAGGGACTGAGCAGGCAGTTTCCCTCGGAGGAGAGCAGGCCTGGGGAGGGACTGAGCAGGCGGTTTCCTTCGGAGGAAACTGCAGTCGTGCAAAGGCGGGGGACAAAGAGGGGTGGCAGGCAGCGGTGAAAGAGAGTGTTTAAGAGCTGACCCAGGGCCTGGCCGCCAGTGCACTGATTTCAAAGAGATTACGTGGTTCGCCCAGTGTTTCACCGCTAGGAATTCAAAGCTGGGCCTCCTGACCGTGGATTCGAGAGATCTTGTGGTTCTAGATCCCCACATGGCGCCAGGGCCTTGGCTTCGCGGAATTGGTACCCCTAACTGACCATGATGCCAGCGCTGTGGTCTGAGCCCATCTCTGAGTCTGTGCCAAGGCCACCGCCCCCGGGCCGTTTCCGTTGCCTGGGCGCCTGGGTGCGGCACGACTGCCCAGGCGAACCCATCTCGGGGACACGCCGAGCCCCGCCCGCCTGCCTTGGGGCTCGTCCCGCGGACTGCAAGGGAAGCAGGATATGCGCCCACCCCACCAGGCCCCTCGTCCGCCCCCTGGCTTCGACGCGGTCTGACGGCTCTCCCAGCCCCAGTTCCCTCCTCATTTTCTCCCACACCACCATTTCCTCTAATAAAACTCGTGCGTGTGTAACTTTCTCTAGGAGTCAAGTTTCTTGGAGGACCAGACTGACAGCGCGTGGCTCTAAGAACTGCCCCCAGGGCCTAGCTTACGACTTCACTGATGCTCCGTGATTGACGGAGAAGCAGGACGTTCACAATGCCCGACCTACTTTGATGCAATTTTATTTTATTTTTTTCCTTCTTACATGAGTGATACATTTTAAGTTAAACCATGGTAAAAGTTAAGTTAAACATTCAATGTAATATTTTAGAAAGGAAGAAACCCCAATAATCCTTAGCCGCCCCCAATCCTGAGCATGATGGATTAAAAAGCTGCTACTTTACCCTGCTGTTATCAGTGACTTCTGGCCCATGGCCCTGTGAGGGCACATGCCAGGAAGCTTTGACACCTTAGAGAAGCGCTTACTGGAACAACTGCTGAAGCGCAGGGCAGCTGTTTTGCTCCCTGATGACGTCCTCCAAGCTGTCCTCCCTGTCTTTCTGGGGGCAGATTTTAGAGCCAAAGCCTTACAACTAGATAAACTGCACTATTACACGAAAACGCATTTATTGGGAAAAATGAGTGCCAACATAATCTGAAATGGCGAAATGCGGGAACTTTCAATAAATTCAACGTGAAAATCAGACAAGATGGATTGCTTACTCCAAATATTAGAATCAAAGTGTTATTATTATTATTTTTTAATTTGGCCCACCTTGCTTATGGGATCTTAGTTCCCCGACCAGGGATTGAACCCCCACCCTCCGCAGTAAGAGTGCAGAGTCCAGAGACACAGAGCATTTACAGGAATTCTTGACGAACCGGAAAAAGGATGTCTACAATAGACTCCTTTAGCTATTGCAAAACTTAGCAGAGTTTCAAACTGTTTAAACATCCCTCCTTACCCTGAATTTACGGCTAAAATTAATCCTGAAGAAGGTAATGTGCAGAACAAAGTACCGTCTGAAAATTAAAACTCTCCCCCCCACCCCCCTCCGCCGCCAAAGGTTCTTTTTTAATATATTCGGAAACTTACTTTAGAGCCGCAAGTTCATGGCGTCCTCCAGATCACTGCGCCGGCAAGAAACTTAAGACCTTTGTGCAGAAGCAAGTCAGGTGCCAGTAATGCCTGTTGGGATTTGTAGTTCAAATTCCTCCAGTTTTTAGAAAATTACGCGTACATTCACATATTTTGTGTGTATGTGCTGCCATCTAGTGAAGCTTAGGTAGAACTGTTAACTCCGAATGCTAGAAGGAAAAAAGTAGAAAAGCATCTTCCTGGTGTCTTCCGTTCAGTCGCTCAGGGGTGTCCGACTCTTTGCGACCCCATGGACTGCAGCGCGCCAGGCTTCCCTGTCCACCACCAGCTCCCGGAGCTTGCTCAAACTCATGTCCATCCAGTCGGTGATGCCATCCAACCATCTGGGGTCTTAGAATGTGGAAATCACTTCCTTCACGAATTTTACCGAAGTCCTGCTCTTTTATTTGCACTTACTCTGTGCTGGTCTCGGGGCACTCGAGAGAGAATGAGCCAGGAGTTGCACGTGGAAGTCAGCAACGAAATAGAAGGAAACCAGGTCATTGAAGATCCTGGAGCCTTCCTTCCCGCACCCTGACCTAGATTGCTTTGAGGCGGGGAAATAAGTTCTCTCGTGCTTTTAAGGTATGGGTATGGTTATTTTGTCCCACGCAATCTATTCTAACACTCATTACAAACTCAGCGGCAGAATGCAGTCATCTCCAGTGTAGGTGGAGGCTGAGTCGGGGAACTTCGAAGGGCATGCTGGGTAAGAGCCAAAAATCAAGTTTGGCTGGAGAGAACCAAATATCAGATGGAAAAAGATGTACTAGATCATGTGAGCCCTCTCTACAAGGCTTGCTAATTCATATTTAACAGGAGTGTAACTCTAGAGGCAGTTTAGGCTAGTTTGTGCATATGCTAGTTAAGTAGGGGCCTCTCAATGCCCATGTAACTCACTTTGGCCTGCCTTTTACTTTATAAAAGCTTGAAAACAACTCTCAAATTCCCAGCCTTCTTTGCTTCTCGAGCTGGTCAATGAAATAAATGTAAGCTGAAATCTCCGAGGTTTTCCTTCTTGGATAGAAAGCTGAGGCCTCTCTGAAAGGCTTTTGACTTTTGCTCTTTTCTCCTGGAATGCAGTTGTGATGCCTAGGGCCATGGCAACCATGTTGTAACTTGGTGTGAGGTCAGAAGCATAAGTTACAGACAGCAGGGTGAGTGAGAGAAGGGACTTGGTTCCTTGAAGAGAGCCTCAAGTTGACAGCGTTACCATGTGACAGGCTGTCCTATAGTAACCATTACTGTTGAAAATCAGCTCCCTGAACTTCTCCTGTGAGAAAATAAACTCCTTTAGATCATGATTTTTGCTCTCGGAGTGAATGTGCATTTATAGTAATCACAGTGGCTCGGAACAAAGACTGTGAAGTCAGAAGGATGAAGGTAAGTCCCACATCTTTCCCTCACTAGCTGTCAGTCACTTAACTCTACAAATCTCAGTTTTCTCATCTGTAAAACAATCATAGCACTTACCTCAGGGATGTCATGAGGAGGAAGGACTCGGCATGTGAAACCATCAGTACAACATGCTAGTTTTGTACTTAGTTGTTCGGCTGTTGTGTCTGACTCTGTGACCCCATGGACTGCGGGACGCCCCGCTTCCCTGTCCATCACCAACTCCCAGAGTTTGCTCAAACTCGTGTCCATTGATTTGGTGATGTGGTCCAACCACCTCATTCTCTGTCATGCCCTTTTCTTCCTGCCTTCAATCTTTCTCAGCATCAGGGTCTTTTCCAATGAGTCGGCTCTTCCCATCAGGTGGCCAAAGTATTGGAGTACTTAATAAAAGAGTGTTTTTGTACTTAATAAACATTATTAACAATTCAATTATAGTGGAAGCAAATATTGTCCTTAAAAAAAAAAGGCACCAAAACCCAAAACACCTTGGCCTAGGTTTTGGTAACAGAACCTCATTGCCCTACTATAGTTTATAATGTTGAGTCTAATGATCTGAAACCATTATCCAGCTGTGCTCCTTGCTTTAATAACAATCCTTTTTCTCTGACTTTTGAAGATTTTGGAGTGCACATTTAATGAACATGAGAGTTTCCTGGTCAAGGCTAACTCTGATACTTTTTCTTGAGGCAGCTTTCTTGAGCCTTCCTTCATCCCCTGATCTTCAACAGTAGTGGTTACTTTATGACCACCTGTCACATGGTAATGCAAATATCTGCCTAACCATTTGTATTCAGTGGACTAAATTTCTCCAAAGCTAGGGACTGTAACTTTTTCACTTTACATTGTGATCAGTTTATATTAAGACTATATGAGTTATTTGTTTTCCAAATACAAAAAGTTCCACAAAGGCGGTACATTTGGGTGCCTAGACTGATGATGAGCACGTAGTAGATGGTTGTTTATTTGCTGAATATGAATGGTAGGGTCTAGGTAATAATTCTGCGAGGCTTGAGAGCATGTTTCCTATGAATATTTTGTCTTCTTTGGTCATAATTTTGCTTTTCAGATCATTTTAGTATTGTCTGACTGTAGTATTTTTTTTTTTTTAACATTCTCACGAGTTTCCATTGCTGATTCTCATAATCGTTCCTTTGCAGTCACTCACAATATTGAAACTTGTTATCATTAGGGGTAAACAACATACTAAGGGAGATGTCAGAGAGATGGAGGAACAGAAGCTCTCTTTCCCTAACAGACACCGACTTAACAACAATATATGGGCCAAAACACTTTTGTGAAACTTTAGAAGCCAGTTAAGAAGGGCTTCCCTGGTGGCAGTACCCCAGGTCAGGGCAGAGCTGGGAACGGCCCCACTGAAGCAGGTGAGAAGAGCTGTTTCACTTCACCTGCACCCACCCCTCCCTCGGCTCGCAAAGCTTAGCCCCGGCTGCTTCCCCATCACGGGCAGTGGGGAAAGAGGAGAGTGGAAGGCTCACCCGAAGTTCCAGCTTTCTGAGGGGAGTCCGAGTGACTGGTGCCTCTGCCCTGACTCGGAGCGCCGGTGGAACTGGCGTGGCTTGGCACCAGAGAGCCTGCCGAGACTGCTGTGGCTCTGCAGTCGGGACCAGGTGCCCGCGGAGGCCTCATGCGTGGGAGGGAGGAGGAGAGTGGGTGTCTGGTGTCCCAGCTTTCTGAATGGCTGCACAAGAGACTGGTTTGTGTTTCGTCTCACTGGGGGTGCTGATGGGGAAGCTGATATACTTTGGATGCCTGGGGGCCGATGAGAAGAAAGGACAGTGGTGTGACCTGCTGCTGCAGCACCAAGGAGCCTGCAGTACTGCAGACAGACACTAGAGGGAGATCATGAGCTCCTGAAAAGAATTGGCAACCCTTTAGTTGGCAAATCTCACACGCAAGCCCAGAAAAGTGGCATACCCCCCAAAGGTTTCAGAGGCCCCCCAGAATCTATAAACGAGCTGCTCGATGAAGATGTTTCCCTGTATGACACTAGAAGAGGTGGCTGCTTTTTTTCAAATGCATAAAACCCAACAAAACATCAGAAGGTACACAAACATGGACTATTGAGAAACAAGATAAATCTCCAGAAACAAACTCAAAAAAAAAGAAAAGGTGATCTAAGAACTAAAAAGATTTAAAAATAACAGAAGCTCAATGATCTATAAGAAATATGGACAACTAAATGAATTTGGAAAAATAATGCATGAACAGCATGAAAATATTAACAAGTAAATAGAAACTATGAAGAAGAACCAAACAAATTCTGGTGCTGAAGAATCATCAAATTGCAAAATTCACTAGAGGGGTTGAACAGCCGACTTGATGAACAGCATGAAAATATTAACAAGTAAATAGAAACTATGAAGAAGAACCAAACAAATTCTGGTGCTGAAGAATCATCAAATTGCAAAATTCACTACAGGGGTTGAACAGCCGACTTGATCAAGCAGAAGAATCAACAAATTGGTCATTTGAAATTATCCAGTCAGAAAAGCATAAAGGAAAAAAGAAAAGTGTCGAGAGCCTAAGGTACTTATGGGGCATACTTAGTGGACCAACATATGGTGGTACTTCCAGAAGAGAAGGGGAAAAATAAGTTGATTTGAAGAAATAATGGCCCCCAAACTTCCCAAATCTGAGGAAGGAACCGGACACCCAAATTCAGAGAGTTAAGCAACATTCTGTTAGACTGGAAACCCGATGACTAGCTTTATTTTTAATGGCCTTTAGTTTCCCTGGAGAAAGGAGTGGCGACTCACTCCAGTGTTCTCGCCTGGGAAACCCCGCGGACAGAGGAGCCTGGCGGGCTGCAGTCCACGGGGCCGCAGAGTTGGACACGATGTGTGACTGAGCATGCGCAGAGAGCAGTTTTCTTATTCAGGTGAACTCACCTATACTACTCAATGCTCTGGGGGAAGCAGACACCGTGAAGAATCAGCCTGCGGTGCTGCTACAGCGTCTTGTTTGGGTCACGGTGGAAGCAGAAACAGGCCCCGGTGAGAGGCTTAGAGGAGGGGACGCTTTCCCCTAGCACAGTGAATTCCCATGGCAGTGTCAAGGTAAGGGAAAATACCCAATCCACAGACTTTAGAATGACGACTGTGATGCAATTCATAACCTCTTTCTCTGAATAAATATTCTTACCAAAGAGCCAAGAATGTCTTGAAATCACTAACTCTCTTCTAAGTGCATCTTGCTGTTTTGTGTGGTTTTTCAAAATCGCATGATATAAAGTATCAGATACTTTCTAAAACCATAGTTCCTTATAGATCAGAGACCCCTCTGGGGATATGACAAAAGAACGTATGGACCTTAGTATCCTAGAAAAATGGATCCACACACAAAATATTAAACTTCAGAGGTTTTACAGCTGCATGCAGTCCAGATGCCTTGTGTATCTGTGGGCACCTCAGGTTTAGAAAACTTTACCTTCATAGAAACTCTGGTGTTGTTTCCTCGTGTCTAAAATTAAAGGGCACAATAAATTGATGTGTATTTTTTTCCAGTTGCTAATGAAGTGCAACTGACTACAAAGTCTAATAACAAACCAATTTAGAGCGCTTGCATAGGGAGTGGGTGGGTTGTAACTGGAAAGTGAGAAACAACTTCCATAGCTGTTACAGCAAAAGGAAGATTAAAACTAGAAAATGCTGAGGCTGGATCACTTGCTATCCCTTAACAGCCTAAATATGGAATGCATGTGTGTATTTTTACAGCAAAATTCTGAAAGTCAACACAGAAGACGAGAGGAGGGCCAGCTATACCCGGAGTATCCCACCAAGGAACCATCAGTTAAATTACATGGTGCTGTGATCTAGAGCAACTAATCAAACATTTACTGAATGTTCAAGGCACTAAAAGAGTCTGTAATTTTGTTAATCAAATGATACTTTATATTAATTTATGAATTATGCTTTGGAATTCTCTAAGTCATATGTGGATAACTTCATATTAATAAAAATATATACATTTTATGTATACATGGGAAGATTGGAAATTTCCTTCAATAACTTTATTCTTTATAAAACATATAAATAAATAAAACTTTTCAACTTCTAAAGGATTACCACGTTTAAGAAGAAGGTATATTGCTATCAGCATTCTAGATTATGGGAATGCATCCCATTCTTTCATCTTCCAATCCTAGTGGCAAAGTGGGAACTGAACTGAAGTTGGATTGTGACATGACTGCCAGGGATAGACACATAAAGACATGAACAGACATTTCCAAACATGGAATGCAGGGCAGCCAGAAAAGTGGCACAGTGGAGTCTACTGAGTCTTGCACTCCGGCACATCTTTTCCTGATGACATTTGCCAAGGACCTGGCTGGGGATTCTCGGTCTCCACTTCAGCAGTTTGTTCTTCTGGACAGAGGCCTAAACCCGAGTTATCAAAATAGCGAATTGGAGGAGGTACTGGCAAAGATTTTGACCGGTTATCAAAAAACCAAGATTTCAGCGGCTCCTTTGGCATAGGATCTTGGATATTCTGTTCCTTGTATTGAGAAGACATATGGTGTCTCTTTTTAGAAGGTGTCCCAGTCACTTTAGGAGACTTTGGAGAATTCTCACAAGTTACTTCTTTGTGAACCTCTNTAAAATGAATGGTTAGAAAAACCATATTGTACATAAAACCTAGAAGTAATAAATTTTCAGTTGGAATCCATCAATCTGAGAAGCAAAGTGAATCAAACAGATAAGCTGGGTTTGGTTTTCCTTTGTCCTATTTTTAGGGAAAAAACTAGTGTGCTATACAAATACTATGCATTTTAGAGAATACTTAGCCATCATTGGAAAGCTTTCTTTGAAGCTTTAAAAAGCGTTTTAACTCCATCTATTTATTTATAAGTAATAATTGTTTTAAAATTATATATGCATAAATCTAGGATAGCTGATCTTGAGATAATGAAAATTTCCTTTTATTATAATTAAAATTAAAAACTGACAATTTTTTGGATTGATATTTTATTAATACTAATTCAAGGATTATGTCCTTTAATTCTGAATTGGTGAATTTTTGATTTATGTATCCCCCCCGGCCTTTTATTTCACTTAAAAATCGTACCAGAAAGATCCACATATTGATAAAAAGACTTAAGCATTTTTATTTGCAGTTGGATTAGTTCATATTATGCATGTGCCTTTGGCACTGTCAAATAAAATCAAGAGGTGATTATAAAACTTATCAGTTTTTCCAAAGACTCTTCTAAAATGGTATGTGTATGTGTGTGTGTATACATCAAAAGCTCTATGAAAGTGCTAACTAGTGGAAGGTCCTTAAATGTTTGTTAAATAGTATTCAAAGAGCTGAATAGTTTGTTTTTTTTCCAAATTGCTTTGTTCCTTACTATCTCCCTAAAAGCACTGTCACAGTGCTGACTTGATTCAATTTTGATGTGCAGTTGATGAGAATGAACTGACTCCTTCTTTGTCACAGTTCCCATATTCTTGCCTGGAGATTTCCATGGACAGAGGAGCCTGGAGAGATATAGTCCATGGGTTCTCAAAGAGTCAGACACCACCGAGCGACTAAAACTTTCACTTTTCAGAGCTCTTATACACCCTGGCAACCTTTGCTCAGAGCTTTAAATAGCTGGCAGCTGCCTCTTTTGATGAAGTCTTTTTGTTTTATGTTTCTACAAATGCATAATAGGGTATTTCCGACAGGTGGATACACTGTCACTCCTGGGCATGTGGTGGGAAAGGCTAAGACACAACATGTTACAGAGCTTCTCCCGCACGTTCCGCATCTCTATGGACAGCGCCTCTGCAGAGCTGGGGTGAGCCTGATCCCCGACACCCACTTCACCCAATCAGGCACCGAGCCTGCTGATTCCACCTCCAAATCTCTCCCATCTGTCACATCTCCTCGACTCTACTGTACCTGGCCAAGTTCACGCTGTGGCCTTGCTCAGGCACCTGTCAAACTCTTCGCTCCCGTGATCTGTGGGTCACCTTACAGCTGAGGCAATGTGTTCCAAATGTCTGCGTCATCACGCTCCTCTGCTCTTGTACGAAACCTGAAGGCTTCCTCCACATGCTCTCAGGATCAAGTTTAAATTCTTTCACACTCTCTACACAGTCCTGCAGGTCTGCCTCTTACCTCCCTTCTTCGGTTCACTGGCTCCATCCACAGAAGCCTGTGTTTCTGGCGCCCTGGCCGCGTTAGACTCCTTCAGTCCTTCCCCGACTGCAGGCCCTCCTACTCTGGCTGGGGCGGTCCACGTTCTATCAGTAAACGCTCCGCCCTCCTCTCTGTTCAGCTAGCTCCCGTTAACCTGTTAGAGCTCAGTTCCCTTTTGCAAGGAAGACTTCCGTGATATTACTAAAACAAAAACCTACTGTAAGCCTCAGAGCCTTCTGCACTCTAGAATTTTCCCTTTGACTACCTGATTGCTGTCTATACCTATTACACTGTAAGCTCTAGGACAGGAACTGCATCTAGTTTTGCTTATTGCTTCACCATTAGGGTATAATATGTATCACAGAGTTGATAGTAAAGAATTCTGTTGACCGAATCAGTAAGTAAATGATACAAGTCTATGACCTGGCTTGTGTAAAATGAATGTAATCCTACTGGAAATACTGGCCCACTGAATTCATAAGAAAGTGCTACTGAAAAAGTAAAAGGAGTTTGGTGCATAGGGTAGTGTCCTTATGTCCTTGGGAGTGCTGCTTGTCCATTTCAGGGAAAAGAGGACAGTTTAAGACACAGACTTCACTCAGGGTAAAAAGTGACTGCACTTCAGAGAATCTTTGTCCCCCGAGAAAGTAATGAAGTCTCTGCCCGTGAACTTGGTCTGGTCCGTCCTCTCCTGTTGATACTTGCCCTGTGGGGTCACGTGGTAAAGAGAAGTTCCAACTGTCATCCCCGCATTTCTGAGTGACCAGTACATTCACCTACCTGGACAGAGGCCTAAACCCGAGTTATCAAAATAGCGCATTGGAGGAGGTACTGGCAAAGACTTTGATCGGTTATCAAAAAACCAAGATTTTGGTGACTCCTTTGGCATAGGATCTTGGATATTCTGTTCCTTGCATTGAGAAGACATATGGTGTCTCTTTTTAGAAGGTGTCCCAGTCACTTTAGGAGACTTTGGAGAATTCTCACAAGTTACTTCTTTGTGAACCTCTCTTTTAAGAGTTCTCTCCTTCCACGTCTTGACCTCACTGGAAAGATGATGATAATTGCTTAAGTGTGGTGGTGGTGGGAGAGAGGGAGAAGCAGGAGAAAAAACGAGACCACAAGACTGCAATTCCTGCAATGTATTCACACTTAAGTTAAAAAAAAAAGTTTTTAAATTGTGGTGTGTGTTAAAATATACACAACATAAAATTTAGCATTTTATCATATTTACATTCTAGTTTCAACCTAATGCTTCCTGTTTGGACTGTTTCCACAGTTCAGAAAATGAAATGAGGTCAGTATAAACTGAGTAATTGTAGTAAATCTCCATAATCATGGGGTTTTGAAAAGAAATGATATCAGATTTTTAAATGAATCGATGATATGATCTAGTGTATTTTGTGGCCATAATTTGTTAAATTAGTCTCTGGGGTAGATGACTCTATCTGTTATTTTAAGAGAAATAATTCATGGTGCTTTTTTGAATTCATTATATTCTTGCTTCATAGAGGAAATGCTACCAGCATTGCTCTGGTTCCTCCAGAGAGACACCTGGGCGACAATCCTAGGGCTCCTTCTTCCTCATACTTATTTCTCAAATTCATCTCCTTATATTTATCTGCATTGGCACCATTCCAGTCCATGCCAAAACTATCTTTTGCTTGGGCAACAATAAACAGACTCCTAAGCTGGGGCCTCCTATACTGAGATGCTGTCTGATCTCGGAAGGCCAGGGTCTCCTCCAGGGGAGGCAATCCTTCCATTACATTTAGGATCCCCTCCAAATGTCCTCCCAATGACCTTTGGGGGACTGTGCTATCCGGGCCGGTTCACCTCTGGTATTTCATCTTGCACCTCACTGTCTCCGTCTCTCTGCCCTTGCCACACTGGATGTCTTTCAGTTCCACCAGCAGGTCACTGTTTTTGACTCAGAGCATGTGCACATGCCATTCCCTCCGCCTAGAGAGCTTACCTGCCTCTCCTTCCATCTGGCCTAACTTCTATTCAGTTTTCACACTGAATCTTAAAGGTTAATCTCTTGATCAACACCCCTCCCCACACCAAGAGTTATATATCTCTCTGTTATATACTCTTTCATAATGTCCTACTTTTTGATGTTGCTGTTTGCTGGACAGCACTCACTACAAGGAATTAGTTATTTGTGGACTTTACTTATTAGTTTAACGCCTAGTTTTCCTCTGTTGTATCACTGGTAGAGGTTAGTACAAGATTCTATTCTTTGGTAGAAGCCAAACAGTTAAATTTGTTAGAAATGTTTACAGGTAAAACTAAGCAGCCACAGTAAGGGACCTGAGAGGCTCTTCCTTGAGGAGGGGCTCACTGACTTGGGTATATGGGCTTGTGGTGTATATGAGCTGCCCCCTCAGAGATCTCTTCTTACTTCCTGGTTCTTGGCTTAGTTAAACATAGGTCAGTTGATAGATGGCAAACATATGGAATGGTGCTACTGTATTCCTATTCTTTTTAGAAAAGACATATGAACTTTAAAAAATATTTAGTTGGAAAAAAGTTCCCCCCAAAAGAAAACAAACTAAAAAGACAAAACTTAACGTGTTTACACCATTCTCCCCAACATGTAACAGACATTAAGTATAATTTCTGTATCATATAAGGCGATCTTACCTTGACAGTTCATTCTTTTGCTTCATGAGCTGTTCATTTTGCTGCTTTAACTTAGAAACTTCCTTTTCTAGCCGTATATATTCACTTTTCAGGATAAGCGCTTTTGTGCTTTGTACAATGCCACTGCCACCTCCACAGGTTAAGGGTTTATTTGAAGGCTGAGTATCAACATGTTCTGATATCACTGTGGATGCGAAAGCACAGACAGGTGGGTGATAATTTTAATACCTCAAAATTAATAAAAAAAAAATATAACAAAGGGCAACAAGTCATAAAAATAAAAATACCTCGACCACCATCTATCTGGAAGTCAACCCTGACTTCCTTCTCCCTTATCTCACGTGCCTATTGAGTCATCAATTTTAAATAGCTCTAGAACCCTCCTGCTTCTTTCTACCTACCGATTCCACTACCATGACCCTGTCAGTAGTTTGCCGTGGCTGCAGTGGTTCCGATCCTCCCCAGACAGAGCTGTCCCGCACGTGTCAGTCTTCTATGATCAGTGCAGTCACCTGAAAGACTGCTTCCTGCAGTGTGTGTGCGTGTGGGTTCCAGCAACATTCAGTGAACTACTAGTGCTCAGTACATGCTTGTTCACTAAACACACCTGAGCTGATATTAAAGCACACATTATTAAGGATTCTATACTACGTGTGCAAAAGTAATGTAAGGAGCTGCTTTGTGCATTTTAGATAAAACTGCATGAAGCTGTGAGGTGCTTTCTGATGGAGACTAATCCACTGGGTCACTGGTAATTGCTTAAAGAAGGGTAAAGGTGTGTGGGGAAAAGATACTCAATGTCCATTTCCTTTTGAATGATTCTGAAATCAGGGACATCAAAGTCACAAATCAAGAGTACTTCTACTGATCCTCCTGTAACAACAAGGAATGCTCAGGTCTATTTTTATCTCTTGAAGTTTTTCAGGTTGGAGCTGTGATCACCTTAACACTATCTCTGATTTTTTTTTTTACTATTATTTATTTACTTACTTGGCTGTCAGGTCTGAGTTGAGGCACGTGGATTCTTTTGTTGTGGCGCACGGACTCTCTAGTTATGGCGCATAGGCTCTCTAGTTATGGCACACCAACTCGCTAGTTATGGCACACGGACTCAGTAGTTATGCACACAGACTCGCTAGTTATGGTGCAAGGACTCTCTAGTTGTGCACACGGACTGTCTAGTTATGGCGCACAGACTCTCTAGTTATGGCACATGAAGTCGCTAGTTATGGCACACGGACTCTCTAGTTATGGCGCATGGACTCTAGTTGTGGTGCATGGACTCTCTAGTTATGGCGCACGGACTCTCTAGTTATGGTGCACGGACTCTCGTAGTTACGGCACACGAACTCGCTAGTTATGGTGCATGGACTCGCTAGTTATGCACACGGACTCTCTAGTTATGGCGCATCTAGTTATGGCACACGGACTCGCTAGTTATGCACACAGACTCGCTAGTTATGGTGCACGGACTCTCTAGTTATGCACACGGACTCTCTAGTTATGGCGCATGGACTCTAGTTGTGGTGCATGGACTCTCTAGTTATGGCGCACGGACTCTCTAGTTATGGTGCATGGACTCTTGTAGTTACGGCACACGAACTCGCTAGTTATGGTGCATGGACTCGCTAGTTATGCACACGGACTCTCTAGTTATGGCGCACGGACTCGCTAGTTATGGCGCACGGATTCACTAGTTATGGCGCACGGACTCTCTAGTTATGCACACAGACTTGCTAGTTATGGCGCACGGACTCTCTAGTTATGCCGCACGGACTCTCTAGTTATGCACACAGACTCTCTAGTTATGCACACAGACTCACTAGTTATGGCACACGAACTCTCTAGTTATGCACACAGACTCTCTAGTTATGGCGCACGGACTCTCTAGTTATGCAGTCTCGCTAGTTATGGCACACGGACTCTCTAGTTATGCACACAGACTCACTAGTTATGGCGCACGGACTCTCTAGTTATGCACACAGACTCGCTAATTATGGCACACGAACTCTCTAGTTATGCACACGGGCTTAGTAGTTCTGTAGCATGTGGACTCTTAGTTCCCTGACCAGGGATTGAACCTGCATTCCCTGTGTTGCAAGGTGGATTCTTCAACCACCAGAGCGCCAGCGAAGTGTACTGATTTTTTCTTTTTTAAATGAGTGGACAAAAATACACACAAATATCATCCTCCATTTGCTAGACCTTCAGAATTTTCAGTGTGCTTGCACATATGACTTTTAGTGTGATCCTTAAAACAATTACATACATAAGCTAAGTCAGGGCTGTCCTCAGGGTTTCACACAGCATTAAACGAGGGCAGTCAATTCAGAGACCTGTCCTTGACTGTGAATTCAATGCTTGTCTTACTCTACAAAGCTGATCTAAGTACTGGTCAGCGTTTTCTCTTTATACATGAAACACAAGAAATACAGAAAAAGGTATAGTTTGAGAGATATGTAGGTAGAAATTTGATCACTGGACTTGAAGACTGTTCCTATGATAAACTGGAGTCTGCCAGTAAGAACAAGTCGGATAATATTTATCTGTGAATGGATATTTTTACTGTGCATATAGTCACAATCTACTAAGATACATGCTTGTATTTTTATTGGGAAGTGTACTTCTACCCTGATAGTTAAGTCATTCTTTTATAGTACTGAAGATACCTTCACTAATGTGTAAAGATTTGATAATGCAAAAGCAAATTCCCTCTTTTCTAAGAATCTATAATGGAGAAACAGTCAAGATTATAGGGAACTAAGGAGATATCACAGGATAAATATAAGCCCAATGAATTCATCTGAAAAATAGTTTTTTCTAAATCAGTGATTAACTTAGGTTTATTCCTGATTGTCATTATCTATAATAGTAGTCTTCAAAATGTTTAAGTGTATTGAAGTAAAATGGAAAGATTGGGAACTTATCAGCATTTTCCACTTACTTGATGTATCTTGGGCCTGTTGATTTCTTCTAAGATTCTCTCTCAATAACCTTATAACTTCTTTTTGATATTCTACAGTGGCTTTTGTTGAAGCAATTCTATTAAGAGCAACAGAAATATGTAAAAACCCAGAAACAGACTTTTAATGAAGGAATAAACACAACTGCTGTCAAGAATTTTCTAGCAAGACACATCATATCAACATAATGTATCACACACCTCACAGCTATAGTATCATCAAATTGGAAGTATTTTGTCTGGTTGCAGGAATGACTTTTTTTTTAACATTGAGAAATCAATTCTATTTAAATTTCTGGAGGCTCAATAGCTATTAAAGGCATATTGTGTAAAATTATACCTGGGAGCACCATAAAACAAGTAACTGGTCTGTTACCATGAGGTCCAAGAAACACCAAGAAGGTGTAACAATCACCAGAGCATGAAAGCAAAAAGCAGCTTCCGTTCTAAAGTCAGGAAAGCAAACCCTAGCTGCAGCTCTTGTTCAAGGTGTTATAATCAAAGGTCAAATTCTGCTCATTGTTCCCTGGTAGAGACATTTTATGAACTGTTTGCTTAAGCATTAATCAGCAGTGATAAATTATAGGATACTCTGCCCTTTTTAGAGGCTGACAGTATCTGCTGATTCTATTCTGTAAGTAAAATTGCTTTTTATAATGAACATCTTAACAGATATAAGTTTCACTTTTTATCACTAGAAGGCTGGTTAGAACGAATGAAGATCTGGAGTGCTACGTATTTGGCAAAATTACACATCATCATTAAATATTTATTAAAGATTTATAGGAAGAATAAAAAATGTTAAGAGCCAGAAGGGATAAGAAATTGTTTAATATAAACCAATCCTTTTACTGATTATGAATGTGAGGCCCAGAGAGATAAACAGCTTGTTAAAGGTGATATATTCATTAAAGGCAATATATTTCTAATTTAGTTTCCCTGACACTGTCTAATGGTCTTTTCATTATTCTATATCACAAAGAACTTCAGGCATGCTATTATGTATATGGGCTGTGTGTGTTAAGTCACTCAGTTGTGTCCAACTCTTTGCAATCCCACTGACTGTAGCCCATCAGGCGCTTCTGTTCATGGAATTCTCTAGGCAAGAATATTGGAGTGGGTTGCCCTTCCCTTCTCTAGGGGATCTTCCTGACTCAGGGATCGAACCCAGGTCTCCCGCATTGCAGGCAGATTCTTTTTACCATCTGAGCCACCAGGGAAGCCCCACGTATATGGTTCTATATAAATAAATCAATAAAAAAGAATATGCTCTTGAGTATTAGGTATTATAATTTAAAAGGAAATATAACTTTCCCACAAAAACATGACAGAAAGAATAAATAAAATAAATAAAAACCAACAGAAACCTTAGCAAACTGGAACCCACAGGTCTTTTTTTTGGCCACATCTTGTGGCTTGCTGAATTTTACTTCCCTGGCCAGGGCATTGAACCTGGGGCCATGGCAGTGAAAGCACCAAGTCCTAACTAATGGACTGCCAGAGAACTCCCCACCACAGGGTTTTTAACATTCACTTCCAAGCATAAAGAGAGTATTTTAAATCTATTTATATATAATGAGCAAAAAGCACCCCCCCCCAAAGACATGTTAGCAACCAGGATTGTGCTTATTTAAAAACCTTTATGTATGTAATGAGAATTTAGTAAAATTAATATCTGTGAGTGGTTGTATTTATTTTTAGAAAAGCAAATAATATTTTCTTATATTTTAAAAACTTAACTAATGCAAAGAAATTTATATAATTAAAGCAAATTTAAGCTTTTTAAAGCATGTTCAATTAAGGCAAAGACGTACTCCTTTTCAAACTCCTTCACATTTTTCATCTTCTCTAGGTCTACTTTCACCAGCTTCATTTTGAGATCTTCAATTTCTTCTTTATAAGGTTTAGCTCCTAAAGCAGCTTTGTCCTAGATTTTTTAGAGAACAGAAAAATACAATAATTTTAGAGAAATTCTGAAGAGCTGCCTTGATCTGGTAGAAAACATTTGGAAACAGCAATCTGTTAATATATGAAAAGCAGGGGAGGCATAAATTTAACCCTGAAATGAACAACAGATATTTGAGGTGAAGTAATTGGAAGTGAATATGTATTTAGAGAACACATAATTTTTGTTTCTTTCAACAAGTTTTTTTCCCAATTTAAAACAATCTACCTAAACAAATGAAACAGAGGTAGAAAACAGTGAAATGGATAGAGAAAGGTTAATCAGGAAAATGAAAGAAAAAGATGCCAGTACAATATTATAAATATCAAACTGGAATCAAATTTAAGGCACAAAGTATTACTCAGCATTGTTGAGGGTTTTTTTTTGGCTGCACTACATGGCATGTGGGATCTTAGTTCCCCAACCAGGGATTGAACTCACATCCCCTTGCAGTGGAAGCACACAGTCTTAATCACTGGACCACCAGGGGATTCCCTGTTGAGGATATTTTATAGTCAAAGATGGTCCATCCACCAACTTGGAATTCAGGCTTTTACATGAACTAGAGAAATAACCTTCCATTTTATGTGAGCCATTGCATTTTTGGATCCCCCCTTTTTTTTTCCATTTATTTTTATTAGTTGGAGGCTAATTACTTGGATCCCTTTTTTATAGCAACTAGCATGTCACATTAATACACTCTCCTGGATTCTCTCTTCAAATGACAAGTGTTTAAAAAGTAACTAAGACCATGACATCCTTTAGCCAAAATCCTCTGATGATTTCCCATCTTACCCAGAATAAAAACCAGAGGAGCCTGCAAGATCCTTTATGATTTGGCTCTCTGCTATTTTTCACCTCCTTTCCCACCTCTATCCTCTTGCTCACTCTGCTCGGGAGACACTGGCTTTCTTGGGGTTTCCTAAACATGTCTAAGACTTTCTGTGTTGAGACCTCTGTGTTTGCTACTTCCTTCGCCTAGAAGGCCCTTCTACCACACTGCTCACCCCATCACTTCACGTCACCCTAAAGGTGTGGCCCTCCTCAGTAACCCTTTATAAAATCACAGCTCTTTTCCCTTACACTTCCACTTTTATTCAGTATCCCTGTACTTTGTCTGGCTTACTTTTTTCCCATTGCATTTTTCACTACTTGACACACACATATATATTTCATCATTTTCTCACTTCCTGAATGATAACGTAAACTCCCTGAAGGAAGGGAGAAACTTTTTATCTCATCGCTGTACGTGTGGCATCTAGAACAATGACTAACACATAATAGCAGGGAGCCAACAAATATTTGTTGAATGAATAAAAATATGGTCATTACATTATCTGAAATATTAAAATATTAGTCCCCAAATTCTAAAGCTTCACAGTGAATTTTCTTGGTTTTTAGCTATATCAACAATTGTCAAAAAAACAAAACAGATTATTTTCTCTTGCTTCTGTTTCATGTCTCATTGAGTGAGCCTGAATTTTTAGAACAATATTAAATAATGGAAAGAACAGACATTCTTGACTAGTTCCCAATTTTAACTACAATCAAGAGACACTGGTGCAGAGATAACACAAATACCTATTAGTGTTGGACTCAAGTAAAAGAAGTATGAGAGGTGGCTGGGCTAAAACAAAAGGGAGTGGTAAAGATATGATCAATGAGGGTACAAACGGTGTAATGGCATTCATGGTCAAAAACATTTATACTACTGTTCTTTATAAAAACAGGTCAGAGTTAGCCGACAGTGTAGCAGGTGGGACTCAACAAGGGATTAAGTAGAAGAAAAGATAATTTTAAAATGTACTTATCTAATAAAGAATATTATTTGGATCAAAGCTTTTTTTTGAAAAATAAAAAATATACTTTAAACTATAAAGAATAATATTTATATGTCTCTTAAAAACATTTTTTTGGAAGATAAATATTATTTTGGAGGAAAACATATTCCTACATTTCATTTCTAAGTTGTCACTTGCTTTTTAAAAGTTTTGAGTCCTGAACTTCCGATATGCATAGATAATACAAAGTTGAAGTAAAAGCTGAGTCCCAAAGCATCTGTCAAATTCAACAGTGAAAGAAAAAAAGATAACACTCTTTGATTTGTAAAATGAGATTGTTAAATTACCTGAAGTACTTGGACCATTTCTTTTGTTTTTTCAAGGCATTCATTTGATTCATTAACTTGCCGTTGAAGTTTTGCTATTACATCATTAGTCATCTCAAGTTCTTTCTGCATCTTCATAATCTTGCCCTCCTTATGCATAGCACTTTCTTTAGCTTCACGAAGTGATGTTTCCAGTGCTTGAATTTTCTAGTAGAAAAAGTACACGCTTAAGGTCTGCCATAAAGACAGTCACAGTACATAAGTTTAAGACAAAGATAATCATATACAGGTATTCATTTTCACAGATTGCATTAACAAAGGACAGAAGAGAAGGAGAAGCCAAATGCCAATTTACACATCCATTTTTTAAAAAAATTTATAAGCTGAAGCTTTTTGAGTTAAAAAACACCCAGATTTTACATTATAAGGTTTAGTGTTTATTTACTAGTTAGCATGGTACCAAGCATTTTTAAATAGGCACCTACATTTTAAATGAACACAACTTAAGAGTTGATAATTAGCTCTTTAATATGTCTTTTCCTTTATTTTTATTATCTAGTTTTGAACTTGAAAAATAAAAGCATATGGAACAATTGATGAAGAGTAACTTTCCCCAACTCAGGACCCCAGCTGACCCTAAGGTAACGACTTGACTCTTCCAGGTGTATCCTTCTGGAAGTTTTCTATGTATAGCTACACATACGTGAATATTCAATTCATAAAAACAGTCACACACACAGTAGGAACATACTAAATAAATAGTTCTGCATTAAAAAAAAAACTTGACAATATATTTTCCAGATCTTTCCATTATCAATGCACATTGTCGTTCAGTAGCTAAGTCATGGTCGATTCTTTGCAACCCCATGGGTGTAGCCAGCCAGACTCCTCTGTCCATGGCATTCACTCCATGGCAGGAATACTGGAGTGGGTTGCCATTCCTTTCTCCAGGAATTTGCTCAGATTAATGTACATTGAGTCAGTGATGCTATCTATGTAGATCTCTCATATTTGTTTTCACGGATACATACATCCTGTTTCATGGAAATCATTCACTAATGAACATTTAGGTGATTTCTAATTTTTTTTTCCAGGTACCCAAAATACTGGAATTTAAATATCTGAATTTGTTCATATTTATAAGATTATTCACATATGTATACATGCAGGTTTTCTCAGAAAATACATTTCTTTTTGACCTACCCAGAATTTATTTTTGTTTGAGTGAGGTGGAAATCCAGAATTTTTTCCCCAAGATGTCAAGCTGGTTGTTCTGAATCAAATATTAAGTAAATTGCTTTTTCCTCACTGAGTTAATTGTTAATCATCATCATGTACAAATTCTCAAACTTTCCTGAGTGTACTGAACTTTGTTCTGTTCCAATGCTCTATTTATTTCTGCATCATTAACCAAACTATTCTACTTATCTATTCCTATATCATTACCAAACTACTCTAATTTGGCATAATTTCCAAGCTAATAGCATATGATTTCTTATCTGATAAGGAATGTCCTGCCCTGGCTCACTGCTTCTTCATCTTACTGCTTTGTTAGATGGGTTTCAAATTTCTGCCAGTTTATTGAGGTCTGTAGTAATCAATACATCAATCAACTGTATACTAGTGATCTTCTGGTTTCTGCTGGAATTTATTAAACTAGTGGCTGTTGTTTTACTATGAGTGTTTATTTCAGTAAAAATGATCAGTTATAATTTACTCTTGGGTTCCTCACTAAGTCATTTTGTGTGATAATAAAATAAAATATCATGTTTGCTTTAGAGAGTCCCAGTAAGGGTAAAGTAATTGAATTATTCATGTAACATACTGATTCTTGTGCACAGGTTAATCTGCTTACAACGTCTATTTTTAGCCTCTTCCATTTTTATTTTCATTATAACATTAACCTATATGAAAGACATTGATGATAATTAGAGAAACCCTAAAATGCTCTTTCCTCCTAAACTAGTTTTGTATAAGGACACAGATTATAGTTTAATAGAAAGTCACATGCTTTAGGAAACTTACACTGTATGGTAATACTTTAAGTGGTGTATGCATATAGTCATCAAATTAAGCTATGAGTTACTTCTGCTTCATAATCCAAAGGGAAGATCTTATATAACACCTAGCTGTTTAATTAGCTGAATGATAGCCACAACAGAACTCTATTTTAAAAAAACAAGCCCATCACCCATATGCAAAGATAGCCCATGTTCCCTAACACATTCAATACTATAATTTTGCTCTGAAATGCTATGTAAGACATGTTACATGTAAATGTCATTTAAGATGTTGAAGGCATTTTAAGACTTTGATGAAGCTGCAAATTGAAAAACCTAAGAAAGTACACACCTCCGTAACTTGCTGTGTAGCTCTTGTTGTGACATGAAGATTCCTGTCTTGTGCAGTAGGATTAACAAGAGAACCAGAGGTCAGGGAGAGCTTCAAAGTTTGGTAATTTTTAAATAGTTTTTCATTGTTTTCTTTCACTGATTTCAGATCATGTTCCCATTCTTTGGCTATGGTAGCATTTCTTTCTTCAAACTCTGTTAATTCATTCATTATAGCCTATTGAATTGTAAAAACACCATTATAGCCCTAAAATGAAATGAATTACACACATACACACAAAAAAGGAAAATACTATGAAAATACTGGAGTTCTAGGACAAGGCATGCTGACACCTATCATTCAGCACACTCTAGAAGAGAACTTTAAAAGAATGTGAACATTGTTTGGGGTTCAAATCAGTTCCTGAAATTTCAAATGACGTTGGATGTTGGTGATGAGAATAAAAGAATAAGGGCTGAAGAGCACCTGTACTGCTTTGTAAGATGATAATCTCACTTTATTGGATTCCAACTAACACACGAAGAAGAATCTGAAGAATTATGCAGGTTAAAGTTATTATGTATGTTATGACATATACCACATCATACATAAACATTAACTGACATCTAATAGCAGGACATACCCAGTAAACTTAACAACAGGCTATTTTCATTCTAAACCTCACTGTTTATAGGGAAAATCATTCACTGACTTTTGGTAATTAATCTGAAAACCCTGTATTTCTGTGCAGGGAATAATGATCAACTAATATCTTTTTTTACATCAACGCCTAACTAGTTCTGAAATGACTCACATCATCCTTTTACTTCCTAACTTCTAAGGCATGTACTTTTTGCTGTCATCATGGATGCCTTATTGGTCTTAACTATAAATTTCTTGGTGGCTTTATGGCAAATTTGTCAGAGTTGGATCCTAAATTACTTGTGTTCTCGCCAGCATCCTGGATGCTCCATAGCGCTAAACTAGGACCTCACACTATATAGAATTACCAGCTGCTTCTTTCAGGGTGCTGGAGGAAGTCACATATCTATGATGATCCTCATTGCAAGAGTCCCTATTTTCTTTTTTCATTGAAGTGTAATTGATTTACAATGCTGTGTTAGTTTCAGGTGTAGAGAAAAGTGATTCAGTTATACATACGTACCTATTTTATTTTTTCTTCAGATCCTTTTCCCTTACAGGTTATTACAAAATATTGAGTACAGTTCCCTGTGCAGAACAGTAGGACCTTGTTGGAGGAATTCCTACTTTCTGATCACAACTGGGCCTTCAACATTACAAGAACAACACTTAATTATGTGGAGATTACCTTATCCAAACACTGGCTATGCATTTCTCCATAGAGACTGTGAACTATTTTTTTTTCTTTGAAACAACTCATTTACTATTTTGCTAGCTTGGAGTATTTAACAAATGGATGAACAATCCAGTCACTGGCAGTTATTCTTTTTAGAAACATTATTTATATTTCAATATGATTAAAGTATTGTTTCCAGATGAAGTTAAAGTCTTTGACTGGAAATAACTACCCAAACACAGAGATATAGCACTAATATTAAACACAGTAAGATTACTCCAAGTCCCTCTGCTCCAATTACTTTTGGTGGTTTAGTTACTAAGTTGTGTCCGACTCTTGTGACCCCATGGACTGCAGCCCACCCGGCTCCTCTCTTCATGGCAAGAATATTGGAGTGGGTTGCCTTCTCCATTGATTACATGCAGTAACAAGTGATTTTCTGATTACTGCATATTTTTCTAGGTATACGAGACAGGGATTACTTCAGAAAGTAGAACGAATATTCTGATCAGTAAAAGGTGAAACAATAAACTGACTGAAAGCGATGTTGGCTCTTATGAATCTGTTCCCTAGGGCTGGTCACCTTTGGAACGATGATTACAAACCACAGTGTGAACATCCAAGCTGAAGGATCTGGGCATGTGACAGTGACACTGCTGAGATGAAAAGCATGTGAGGCCTTACTAGTGAAGCACCTGACCAGGCTTGTCCAGGGGTTTCCTGAAACAGGCTCATGGCTCACATTGTCAGAGCCTGCTTGGAAAGAAGGCCCAGTTCCTACAGAAGCAGCCCAAAGTGAGAATAGAAAGAGGAAAACGGCAAGAAGATTTTGTGTGTAAAAAATTGATTGCTACACAGCAAGATTTTATCTTCTTTACAAGTATAAATATATCTTTAATTATCCTAAGGAAGCATAATACATTAGAGGCAGAAGATGTTTTACCGTCAACTTTTTTCACAAAGCACATGCAAATAAATTTTAAGAAAATACTTAAAAGAAGGAGAATGAGGTAGCACAAGAAAATGACTACTTACCGTTATTTTCTTATGATAGAAGTTATTCACTTGACAAATACTATCATTTTCTTCCTGGATGACATTTTTAAGCTTTTCTATATCAAAATGAGCATTCACCCACTCTTCCAAAAACCGAGTCATTTCTTTTCTATTACTTAGTACTTGCTGAAATTCAGTCTTTATGCTATGGAAATCACTTTCTGAAAAATCCTTAAGAATTTCCTGTGAAAAATAAGCATTGAATCACCTGAACATTAGAAAAGTTTTAATCTAAATATCATAAAAAGGGAAAAACACCTTACTGAACTTTATTCTTAATATTTTAAAGTAAATATAATTTTAATTTAAAACTTTAGTTATTGATAATAAAATTTTGGCAGTACAACCTATGCAACAAAGGCAAGTCTACAATTTCTGCTCAAATTAAAGCCCCTCAAAACTATAAATCTATGACTAATTATCACAATATATGAACTGTCTCTGGATGTTGCTTTCTGTGCACATAACAGGCTGCACATGGTATTGGAAATTGGATGCTGGCCTCATACTGCTGAGTAGGACATTTCATGTGGAGTTGTTGTAATGAAAATGTTTCTGACTCCCAGTCACAGATCTAGGAAGTTTTAGAAGGCATTTGGAAACTTATTCTGGGGTTCCATGAATTCCCACTGGATGATATTACATCTATTTTCTGTATCTTTGGGGTTCTGAAAGGACGCTATACTATTATCTGGCACTCTTCACACCTCGCCAGCTGTCATTCTGCAACTGATTTTTAATTTTTGGTAAGTAAAAATGACTCTAAATATATGCAAAGGTACTTTTCGACTTGATAAAAGCCTTGACATCTAGTTAAAACCATTTTAAACAAATTATACTTCGATATGTAGATCCATGCTCTGGTTTAATTTGAGGTCCCTTGATTCTCCGGGTGGTACATCATAATCTTGTTGAAGGTGCTGTATTTCCATCAGCAGTTCATTTTGCTTTTCCACTTCATCAATAAAAGCCGTTTCAAATTTATTGATGGATTCATGTTGTTCTTCCTTTGTCCTTGCAACATAGCTTAGCACATACTTGCAGAGAAACATAAAACAAATTGGGAAATTAAACTTGTACCATGTTTAGATGAAGTTTTAAATCCCTGAGACTATGAGGCAGGATGGCATCTCTTGTTTACCTATGTTCCCTGGTTAAGTCAGGAATAAGGAAAGAGCCACTCTGTTCTCAATTTTCTCTTCTCAGCAACTTGGCAGGATAACTTCCAGGCCTCTCTCTAGTTCTGTATTTCTGACTTCCTCCTGCAATACACTTCATAGATGTCCCATAATCACCTCAATTTCAATAGGTTTAAAATGTACATGATTCCTTTCCCTAGAAACCCATCTATGTCTATTATCCTCTCTTTGGTTAATTATATCATCAACCACCTAGCTTTCCCAGCTAGATACCTGAGATAATTTTCAACATCTTCTGCCTATCTTGACCAGGTAACAAAAATGGGTATGACATGTCTCAAGATTTACTTGTCAAGCGTATTTAGATGTCTGGCTTTAAGGTGATAATAATTTGAATACCATATGCTGCATAGACCTCTTTATTAAGTTCTGGATATTTGATTGCCAGGGTGGGTGGAAGAGTATCAGGGCCTGGAGGGCAATTTACCAAATAGGAAGGCCAGATACCAATTCCCCACTTCCCCTAACTTCCACCATTCCTTAATCTCTTGTAATTCGGCCTCTTCCTTAACTACTCAACTGAAACCAGTGTGGCAGAGGTCACCAGTGAGCTCTATTATCAACAAACTGGGGGCATCTCTCCAGTCCTTATGCCGGCTGACACATCTGCCCTCTTGACCACTTCATCTTTGGCATACTCTTTCACTGACTTCAGTGATAGCACTTCTGCTTGGTTCTCTTCCATCACTTTGACTTTTTCTGACCTTGAACCCATGAGCTGCTCTTTTCTGCTACTGTCTCTTGAAGACTTATCCCTTCTGAAGTGCTTATTGGATCTCCAATCTCTTATTCCTCTACTATGCTTTCTGGGTGACGTTACTCACAGATGTTGTGCAATGTATCACCTATATAAATCCCAAATCTTTTATCTTTAGCCCTGACATTTCTTCTGACAAGCCTCAGACTCTCAACTGAATGCTTACTTGGTCTCTCTTCTTAAACATCTGTCACAGGTATTTCTACCTCAAAACATCTCAAACTGAACACCTAATTTCTTCCCCTCTTTATTTGTTAATGGTAACACTGTCTACAAACCTGGTTAAGCCTGAATCTTGATTCTCGTTTTAAACTTCTCTCCCTTACCGTGACCATCAATCACATGGACTGCTATCTCCAGCTGTCAGAGGTCTGTCCCCCCATCCCCGAGAACCCTTCCCAAGTAGTGCTGTTGCTTGGTACAGCTTCTCTGGACCCAGTGCAGCTGTTTCTGGCCACCAACTCATTTCTTCTTTGTCTATAGGGAAGTATCTAAAATAATAACCTGATCATGCCACTGCCAGCACCTTAAAATAACAATCCAATGGCTCTGCCTCATCTACAAAAGGAACTCCAAGCTTTATCACTTAAGTCTGTCTTCCACTACAGTCTTATCTTCTCTAACTTTTTATCTGGTATGTCATACAATCTAAATATACTTCTATAACAGTGCTTATTACCTGTTTATATGTCTGCTTCACTCACTATGAGGTTCTTGAGATGCTGTTCACATCTGTCTCCTAAATACCTGGACAGTGTCTAGGTCCACAGGCAAAGTTCAGGTTTTGTTGAATACACAGGTCCTAGGTGCACTGAGGGTCTTGCACACACTGTTCTTAGACCCATGCAATCTTCAATTTAATAGTAAATATGCTACATAGCAAATATGCTAACTCTCAAAAAGTGAAAAAAGTAACAAGTCTATTGCTAAGCTGTGTCTGACTCTTTCCAACCCCATGGACTGCAGCACGACAGGCCAACTTTCAAGGTAGGACTTAAACACGTTAGTTTGTAATAGAAATTTATAGCAGTATTTACAGATATTACTTAAAAAGATGGTACCTGAAGTTTCATCACGACTCTGTGAAATTCCATGGAACACCTCTGGTTTGCAGTGAGGAGTTTCTGGATTTGTTTGGTTTGTGGATATGGAAGTGAGAGGTTTGCTTTTACTCTAATTGAAAGCTCTTTTTGGGTTTCAATTTCCGTCTTCAAGTCAAGAGACAATCTATTTAAACATTCATAGTGATTATCCATTTCTGAGTATCTCTTAAGAAGCTCCTAAAGAAAATTAGAATTTATTCAATGTACCAATTCATTTTAACAAGAAATAGTCCCAGCCCTAGAACAGCAACAAAAAGATTTACTTCTTCTTGTAGGAGGAAAATAAATTATGATCTTTGTGTTTAAAAAACAAAAGCAAACTTATTATTGACTTTGGATTATGAAAATTACTGTGGAAATTAAAAAAAATATAACAAAGAAAATCAGAAACAATCATTGTTATCATTTGATGCATTTTCTTTTGGTCTTTTGAACATCCGTGATTTGAAGGAGCATTTGTTTACATAAAGTCTGAAGGGAAATTTGAGTGAATTCAATCTAGTATGTACTGTAGCTCAAGTCTGAATGCTGTTTTATATTTACAGTGGGCAGTATGCGTGAGCAGATACGTGACCAAGAATCAAACTAATTATTTGTCTATTTGGTGGAGCTTCTTCACACATTTCTACTATTTGCCTAGAGTCCAAGTTTTCTAACCTTTTATCAGAGTTTGAGCATAGATTCCAGCTCTGCCACTCACTGACTGGGGAAACACTGAGCCATTTCACTACTATAAAATGAGATTACAATAACTGCCCCAGAGTTTTCTAGGGGATCAAATATTAAATGATATCTGAATCTATGCAATCTATAAAATATATAGATATTATTTTAAAGGAAGTAAAAATTATATTTGTAAAAATGCTTCTATGCCCAAGTTTTATACTTTGTCAGACTTGATTTCAAATCCTGATTCTCCTAATTTATTAGCTATGTGAACCTGGGCAACCACTAAACTTCCTCTGAGTCTCAGTCTGTTTCTAAATGGAACAATGAAACCTATCCATGAGGTTAGTACAGTGCCTGCATATGGAAGACAATGAGCCAGGGCCCATAAATACAAATGATGAGAGTTCAGGCAGGTGAACCCTTGGTCAGAGTTCAGGTGGAGGAACATCAAGTTGCTGCAGTCATGTAATAAATAATACGTTTAGTTTAGGGTGTTAAATTAGGGAAGGGGCTGCTGACCACAATGAATTCTTTTTTTTTTAAATAATTTAAGGAAAAGCTAGATAGATGTTCATTAATCTGTGGATGTTGGAGGGGGGATGCTGCCTTTAGTCTTAGAATGAATCATATTATGGCATGGAGCAGCATTGTACGTCATTCATTTGTACTTTTAAAAAAGGCATTCTCAACGCTGATTTCTGTCGGGAACTGTGCTAAGTGATATAGCCATAAGCAACACAAACAGTTTTTAGGGACTGCATTTTAACAGGGGTGACGATAATCCTGCTGGCTTTACCCTTAGTATGTATTCAGAATCCAAACACTTTCTCACCACTTTCACTGTTAACTCTTTGGGCTGAGCCACTATCACCTTTGCCTGGATTACTGGAATTAGTCTTTCAATTGTCCTCCTGCTTCCACTCATTTTCAACCTAACAGAGCCATTTCTTTAAAATCTAAGTCAGATCATGTCTCTCAAGAGATCTCCATCTTAATCAGAGTAAGCCCGCAGTCCGCTTAAAGCCCCACAGCCTGACTCTTCCTCATTAACTCCAGACCTCGCTTCTAACTGGCGGTCCTCCTTCCTGAAGATCTTGGAACCCACCAAGCAAGCTTGTCTCCGAAGCTTTGTACCCGCTGTTCCCTCTGCTTATACTGCTCTTTCCCTGGATACAGGCCTGTGTGGCTTGGTCCTTTACCTCTTTCAGGTATTTGCTCAAATACCACCTTTCCAGGGAAGCCTTATGATCACAAGCTCCTCTGTTTTGTGTGTGTGTGGTGTATGCGTGTATCTATGTATACATATATATACTAGTGCTAGATTATAAAGTTTAGAAAAGTACTGAGCATTATCCATTCAATCCACGTTAGACCTCTGGGAGCGTACAAATATTCATTCGTAATTTGAACAGGAGAACACTTACTTTTATCCTAAAGCATTTTTCTCTCAGGCTTCCTATAAGGTGTTGGTTTCCATCACATAGTAACTTTTTTTCATATTTTACCTCTTTGTGGTTCTGTTGGTCCTGCTTTGATATAAAGAAATCAGTAAGACTTCAGCTGTAACCATATTCACATATGTCTAATCATATACTTTGATTACATTTTTATATCTTTTCAATAATAGAATTAAACATAACACATCTAACTTAAAGTAGTCTTAAAAATGCTCAGAAAATAAATAACAGTATCAGTAAGTCCTAAGTGAGTGACCTCAAGTCACTGGAAAAAGTGGCAAAACCATATAATTTTGGAAGATAGGATCTGTTCCTTTACTACTTATAGTTGAAATTGGATTTTAGATATATTTCTGGTTCCTACTCTTCCAAATCTCTGCTTTAAAAACAAAAGCAAACTTATTATTGATTTTGGATTATGAAAATTACTGTGGAAATTAAAAAAAAATATAACAAAGAAAATCAGAAACAATCATTGCTATCATTTGATGCATTTTCTTTTGGTCTTTTGAACATCCATGATTTGAAGGAGCATTTGTTTATATAAAGTCTGAAGGGAAATTTGAGTGAATTCAATCTAGTATGTACTGTAGCTCAAGTCTGAATGCTGTTTTATATTTACAGTGAGCAGACATGTGACCAAGAATCAAACTAATTATTTGTCTATTTGGTGGAGCTTCTTCACACATTTCTACTATTTGCCTAGAGTCCAAGTTTTCTAACCTTTTATCAGAGTTTGAGCATAGATTCCAGCTCTGCCACTCGCTGACTGGGGAAACACTGAGCCATTTCACTACTATAAAATGAGATTACAATAACTGCCCCAGAGTTTTCTAGGGGATCAAATATTAAATGATATCTGAATCTATGCAATCTATAAAATATATAGATATTATTTTAAAGGAAGTAAAAATTATATTTGTAAAAATGCTTCTATGCCCAAGTTTTATACTTTGTCAGACTTGATTTCAAATCCTGATTCTCCTAATTTATTAGCTATGTGAACCTGGGCAACCACTAAACTTCCTCTGAGTCTCAGTCTGTTTCTAAATGGAACAATGAAACCTATCCATGAGGTTAGTACAGTGCCTGCATATGGAAGACAATGAGCCAGGGCCCATAAATACAAATGATGAGAGTTCAGGCAGGTGAACCCTTGGTCAGAGTTCAGGTGGAGGAACATCAAGTTGCTGCAGTCATGTAATAAATAATACGTTTAGTTTAGGGTGTTAAATTAGGGAAGGGGCTGCTGACCACAATGAATTCTTTTTTTTTTTTTTAATAATTTAAGGAAAAGCTAGATAGATGTTCATTAATCTGTGGATGTTGGAGGGGGGATGCTGCCTTTAGTCTTAGAATGAATCATATTATGGCATGGAGCAGCATTGTACGTCATTCATTTGTACTTTTAAAAAAGGCATTCTCAACGCTGATTTCTGTCGGGAACTGTGCTAAGTGATATAGCCATAAGCAACACAAACAGTTTTTAGGGACTGCATTTTAACAGGGGTGACGATAATCCTGCTGGCTTTACCCTTAGTATGTATTCAGAATCCAAACACTTTCTCACCACTTTCACTGTTAACTCTTTGGGCTGAGCCACTATCACCTTTGCCTGGATTACTGGAATTAGTCTTTCAATTGTCCTCCTGCTTCCACTCATTTTCAACCTAACAGAGCCATTTCTTTAAAATCTAAGTCAGATCATGTCTCTCAAGAGATCTCCATCTTAATCAGAGTAAGCCCGCAGTCCGCTTAAAGCCCCACAGCCTGACTCTTCCTCATTAACTCCAGACCTCACTTCTAACTGGCTGTCCTCCTTCCTGAAGATCTTGGAACCCACCAAGCAAGCTTGTCTCCGAAGCTTTGTACCCGCTGTTCCCTCTGCTTATACTGCTCTTTCCCTGGATACAGGCCTGTGTGGCTTGGTCCTTTACCTCTTTCAGGTATTTGCTCAAATACCACCTTTCCAGGGAAGCCTTATGATCACAAGCTCCTCTGTTTTGTGTGTGTGTGGTGTATGCGTGTATCTATGTATACATATATATGCTAGTGCTAGATTATAAAGTTTAGAAAAGTACTGAGCATTATCCATTCAATCCACGTTAGACCTCTGGGAGCGTACAAATATTCATTCGTAATTTGAACAGGAGAACACTTACTTTTATCCTAAAGCATTTTTCTCTCAGGCTTCCTATAAGGTGTTGGTTTCCATCACATAGTAACTTTTTTTCATATTTTACCTCTTTGTGGTTCTGTTGGTCCTGCTTTGATATAAAGAAATCAGTAAGACTTCAGCTGTAACCATATTCACATATGTCTAATCATATACTTTGATTACATTTTTATATCTTTTCAATAATAGAATTAAACATAACACATCTAACTTAAAGTAGTCTTAAAAATGCTCAGAAAATAAATAACAGTATCAGTAAGTCCTAAGTGAGTGACCTCAAGTCACTGGAAAAAGTGGCAAAACCACATAATTTTGGAAGATAGGATCTGTTCCTTTACTACTTATAGTTGAAATTGGATTTTAGATATATTTCTGGTTCCTACTCTTCCAAATCTCTGCTTTAGAATCACTACTGCCAACTCAATATGCAAGCAAAACCAAGTATATTACTTATGGTGTTCTAAGTCCTGCTGATATATTCTTTCCAGAACCTTGGAACAGAAAATTCATACCCTGTTTATATTTTGCATTTCTGATTAAAAGTGCAAAATAAAATATTGTTCAATAAATATTTGTTGAATGAATTAAGTCTCTTTATAAATTTAGTTAGGGCCCACTAAAGATGATTTCCAAGTGTCTGATATTTCTGAGATTACAAATGATATTACTTTCCACTTTATTTCTTTACTAGAAGATAATGATGAACATGAAAATGAAATACGAGAATAAAAAAGATTTTTTAATAGATTTTATACAATTTCTTATTTGTCTGAATTTTATAGAGTGACTCAGTTAGGTTCTTTAACATATGTGAATACTTATAAATACATATTACAAGAACTTCCTCATTTATACTTGTCTTTTTTCCTTCAAAACTCACTAACAAGAGCCTATGTTTAAAACTCTACCAGGCAGCTTAGAAATGAGATATTTAATCTTTTATAAATCTAATCCTTCAAATATTTCTCCACTGAGAATAATGTGATTTCTTGGCTTAGAAATCCTTTAAAAACTACAGTGAAGGAAATAGTCTGATTTAACATTTCTTGTTTTTTTAAAACTAGAGAATTAAAAAGTATTTTCTGAAAAACAAAAACACTAATTTGAAAAGATACACATACCCCAATGTTCATAGCAGCGCTATTTACAATAGCCAAGATGCCAAAGCAACCCAGATATCCATCAACAGATGAATAGATGAGGGACACAAACACAATGGAATACTACTCAGCCATAAAAAAGGAACTACTATTTGCCATTTGCAAAAAACAGGGATGGACTTGGAGGGTATTATGCTAAGTGAAACAAGTCTAATAAAGACAAATATTGTATGATATCACTTAACATGTGGAATCTAAAAAATATAACTAATGAATGTAACAAAAAGGAAGCAAACTCACAAATATAGAGAACAAACTAGTGGTTACCAGAGGGGAGAGAGAAGGGGAAAGGGATAATACACGGCTAAGGGATTAAGAGTACAAACTATTATGTATAAAATTATCTACCCAGAAATACTGTGCAGTATGGAGAATAGACAATATTTTACAGTAACTACAAATGGAGTATAATCTTTAAGACTGTGGATCACTATACTGTATATTACAACATAAATACTGTATATCTACTATACCTCTATTAAAAAAAGTTCTTAACAAAAGAAGTGGTATTTTCTGAATATATTTTGGCTTCTTTTTAAAACTGCATTATCTATTTGTGTGAAAACTATAAGTTTCCTTCATTATCCTTTACTGTTGGTAGACATACATACACAACAAAATATTGTCACTCTTTCAAAAAAAAACGTGATTCCTATAGTTACTAGATAGGGAATGATTCTGAACTCACTCGAGCTATCAGGTCTCTTAATTTTTCTCTGCATTGGTCCCTTTCCACTTTGAGAGACTCTTTTATCTGCCTCAGCTCATCTCTTTCTTTAGCTACAATTCTTATTTCTTCAAGGCTTTCATAAAGTTTCTTAGTCAAATGCAAGTTATCCATTTCCACACTTTGCATAGATAAATTTTGGGAATGAAACTGCTTCTTCAATTGCTTCATTTCATTCACTTTTTTATGAGTTTTACTGACATTGTCTTTCATTTTAAGAAGTTGAAGCTCTTTTCTCTGAAGTTCTTGTATCTTGACATAATTATAAAACAAGTTAGAATACAAACAGAATTCTTTAAAGAAAGTAAAATAGTGTCTATTTATGGTATACATACATAGATATCTATATTGACATATCTGTATCTATGTCCTTTCTCATTTCATAAATAATTTTGGACAATTATTCCCCCAGAGTTAGGGGCTTTCCAGGTGGTGCTAGTGGTAAGGAATGTGCCTGCCAGTGCAGAAGACAGAAGAGACACAGGGTTCAATCCCTGTATCAGGAAGATCCCTTGGAGAAGCGAATGGCAACCCACTCCAGTATTCTTGCCTGGAGAATCCCGCACAGAGGAGCCTGGCAGGCTACAGTCCATGGGGTCGCAAAAAATTGGGACACGACTGAAGTGACTTAGCATGCACATGTTACCCCAAAGGACAAAACAACACATACCTTTTTCTGTAATTCATCTTTTGATTTATTTAAATCCTTTTGAATATTTGAAATCTGAGATGTCTTTTCTGAAACTCTCTCTCTCAATTTATCAATAGTTTCTTGGTGTTCTTTCAAATGGATATGAGCAATTTTTAGTTGTTCTTGTGTTTCCAGTTCCTTTGTTATCAGAAGAAATTGAGAAATATGAGATAAAGGCACATTATCTTTTCTTAACAATGAACTAGCTAAACCAAATCTTAAAAAATACATATTCATAGTTAGAAATAACCAACATGCCACTGCCAAATTAGAAAAGTTCAGAAGGACATAAAGTCTAAGTCCCTGACCCTAGCCTCACCCATCCCAGTCCTGTAACATGCTGAACTCTGAAACTTATTTTTCACATTTCATACCATCTGGATATTTTTCTAGATCAGTATCATGTAAAGAGTGTCCTATTCTTATGCTTAGTTTTCCACTATACAGATGAGCCCCACTTATCCAGTGCCTTATTGACAGACACTTGGATTGTTTCTGATTTTGTTCATCACATATGGTGCTGCAGTGAATGCTGTTGTATTTCTGTCCATATATGTGAATATACTGGTAGGATAAATTTCTACAAGTGGAACTGCTGTAGCAAATGTATATGTTGATAAATTTTTTAAATGGTATTGTCAAACTGCCTCCCTGAAACGTTATAACACTTAAATTTTCATGAACAGCATCGATTATTTTCAACCTTCCTAGAGTAGAAACATTCATCTGGCAGGAAGGAGGAGGACAGCTCACCCTAGCTGTGGTTCCTTGCAGGTCTGCCTTCAGTAGGTCTCTCTCCAGTTTGAGAGTCTCTTCCACTCTCCTTAGGTTATCTCTTTCTTTCATTACAGATTTCATTTCTTCAAGGCTTTTGTGAAGCTTCTGAGTCAAATTTAAGTTCTCCATTTCTATTTTATTCATAGTTAAACTCTGGCACTTAAATTCCTTCTTCAGTTGCTCAATGTCAGACATTTTTTTCTGGGTCTCACTAATTTCCTCTTTTAACTTTAAAAGCCGCTGTTCATTTGTTTTCAGTTCTTGAACCTTAAGATAATCATGTTAGGATTAATTAGATCGCTTTTTAGGGAAGGATTAAGAATAGTTTCTAAACTGAGTAAGACAATAGTTATCCCATTTTACTCATTAATGTGCTGCATAATTTCATACAGGATATAGTGTCTTTTGTGATACAATATACATGACTACATATAATCTTACATGTATATAGCTAAGCTATACTTAACATATGCAGACAGCTATGTAACTAAAACTCAGATCAAAATATAGAACACTTACTTTACCTGTATGCTCTTCCTAGAACAAATCACTATTTTGACCTTTTTCAATCCCAGACCAGTTTGTCTGCTTTTTTAAAAATTTTATGTCTTTTAAACATTTTATATTGGAGTAAAACTGATTAACAATGTTCTGACAGTTTCAGGTGGACAGCAAAGGGACTCAGCCATACATATACATGTATCCATGCTCCCCGAAACTCCCCTCCCATCCAGGCTGCCACATAACATTGAGCAGAGCTCCCTGTGCTATACAATAAGAACTTGTTGGTTATCCATTAAAAATATAGCAGTGTGCACATGTCCATCCCAAACTCCCTAACTATCCTTTCCCCTCAGTCTTCCCCTGTAGCAAACATAAGCTTGTTTGCCTACTTTTAAACTTATGCATCACAATGTGAATGTCAATTCTCCTGTTGATAGGCATATGGGTTGTTTTCAGTTCTTCGCAATTATGATTGCAGCTGTTGTGAGCATTTCTGTATGTCTTTATGTGGAAGAATGCATTCTTTTTCCTTAGGTACATACCCAAGGAGAGAAAATTCTGGGCCACAGGCAGGTATATGGTTCAGAGTTAGTAAAAACTACCAATCTGCTTTCTAATGTGGCTGAAGTGTTTTATATCCCTCAAGGATTTTAGGCACTGCTTTTTATTCTAGGAATATATCGGGTATCTGAAGATATAAGACCCATGATCCCCTCAATACCTTTTCTTGTAATTTAGTATTTGAATTTTCTAAATCTATTTGCATATTTGATATTTCTTCTGCCTTCTCGGAGACAATCCCTCTGAGTTTATCAATAATTTCCTGGTGCTCCTTCAGATGCAAGCGAGCTATTCTTAGTTCTTCTTGTTTCTCCAGATCCTTAATTAATAGGAAAAAAAAACATAGCTTAGTGTCAACTACTTTCTTTTTAATGAAAGTGATATTTTCTTAGTAAAAATGATAAATTTCTTATTTCTTCCTCCACATCTTTGAGGTTGTTAGAAAATTGTAGGTTTTCCCTTCCCCTGGCCTCACCTCCCCACAATGTACTCACATTTTTCAGAGGCAAACATGCTATACAAGTGTTCTTCTGCAACCTGCTTTTCTCCCTAAGGTTTACTTTGGGCTTTCATATTATAACATTCAAATCTACTTCACTTTTTTAGGGGTTGCATGTATACTCTATGTGCACACTCAGTCACTCAGCTGCGTCCAACTCTTTGCAATCCCATGGACCGTAGCCCACCAGGTCTGTCTATGGGATTTCCCAGGCAAGAATACTGGACTGGGTTGCCATTTCCTCCTCCAGGGGATCTTCCCAACTCAGGCATTGAACCTGCATCTCCAGCGTCTCCTGCATTGGCAGGTGGATTCTTTTACCACTGTGCCACCTGGACATGTGATCAATCGTGGCCCACTCTCTGTGACCCCATGAACCATAGCCCACCAGGCTCCTCTGTCCATGGGATTTTTCAGGCAAGAATACTGGAGTGGGTTGCCATTTCCTTCTCCACACCTGGGACATGTTGCTTATATTTACCCGGTTTCCTTGGGATGCACATTTAGGTTATTTCCTATCTTTTTTTAAATCACAAATTGCTGTAATGAACAACTTTATGGTATGTATGTTTATATGTATATGTTATGAATACACACGCACACAAACACACATATTTATTTTTTCTTTATCTTAACAAATGAGCAACTGTACATGTAGAGATAAATAAAGAAAATGCTGGTTACAGAATTTAAAATTTTCAAAAATAATACCAAATTACCTGCCTAAAAGGTTGTATCTTGTTAACTCTCACCAAAAGCACCACTCATTTCAAAGAAGGATTCAGTGATGTAAGGAAAACATCACATTAACTTGCTGGCAAGAGGAATGAGTATAACTTACTTTAGCTTTTGTTTCTCTGAGGCTTTCCCTGAGTTGATCTCGCTCCATTTTGAGGGTTCCCTCCATTCTTCTTAGGTCATCTCTTTCCTTAGTAACAGATTTTATTTCTTCAACATTTTCATGGAGTTTCTGAGTCAACCTTAACTTCTCCGTTTCTATGCTTTCCAGGATGGAATTCCGAGTCTCTAATTGCTTCTTCAGTTGCTCTGTTTGATACATATTTTCCCTGAGATCATTTTTCACCTTAAGAAGTTGATGTTCTTTCTCCTTAAGTTCTTGGACCTTGAGATAATCAAACAGTAAGTTAGGATATAGACAGATACAGAGAGAAAGCTAAAAAATAGTTTCTAAATTGAATAGGAAAATCTCTACTTATCTTCAACATTTGGCAAACTCATACCCTGTTTCATAACACAAAAGACCTGATTCAAACTCTCAATTACTTAGATATTATAAGAAATACCTGTGCTTTTAAGGCAGTATTTGTGTTTTCTAAATTCATTTGGATATTTGATATTTCATCTATCTTCCCTGAAACAATTCCTCTGAGTTTATCGATAGTTTCTTGGTGCTCTTTCAGATTCATCTGGGCAGTTCTTAGTTCCTCTTGTCTTTCCAGGTCCTTTATTATTAGAGAAAGAAAAATAATACATTCAGAATAATACAATTCAACAATATGTAGGAAAGGCATAGGGTAAGAAGTAAAAAATTCCCCTCCCTCCTTGGGCCTCTCAGTTCTCATCCTCTAAAAGTAACTTCTGAATGTCAATATATTCTAGATACTCTTACTCCTTTTTCCCATCGTAAACTTTTAATTAGCTCTATCTCATTGTTTACCTATGGGTTGGTATTCCATGGTCTGAATGTGCTGTATTTTTGTTCAACCAGTCTAATGGACAGTGAGGATTTTTCCTATTGGTGAGGGGGGATGCTTTATTTTGTTATTGCAACTTGCTGCAATGAATATCTGTCTATAAACATCTTTGCACAATTATGCTAATGTGTGCAGATAAACAGCAATAATTGGATTTTGGGGGTTACTGCAAACAACAGTCTGTATAGTCAAAGCTATGTTTTTTCCAGTAGTCATGTATGGATATGATTTGGACTATAAAGAAGGCTGAGCACGGGAGAATTGATGCTTTTGAACTGTGGTGTTAGAGAAGACTCTTGAGAGTCCCTCAGACAGCAAGGAGATCAAGACTAGTCAATCTAAAGGAAATCAACCCTGAATATTCACTGGAAGGACTGATGCTGAAGATGAAGCTCCAATACTTTGGCCATGTGATTTGAAGGGCCAACTCACTGGAAAAGACCCTGATGCTGGGAAAGATACAAGGCAGAAGGGAGTGATAGAGGATGAGATGGTAGGATGGCATTACCAACTCAATGGACATGAGTTTGAACAAGCTCCGGGAGATGGTGAAGGATAGGGAAACCTGGCGTGCTGCAGTCCATGGGGTCGCAAGGAGTCGGAATGAATCACCACCATATATCCATCCCTCCAGTTTTCCCCAAGGGTTGGACCACTTTTACATCTCTACCAACTCTATCAATCACAGTTCTTTTAGGACACGATTTTACATTTACAAGTTGGGTGAAAGATGGTAACTCACTCTACTTGTTGTTTCTCTTAGGTTTTCCTTGAGCTGGTCTATTTCTACTTTGAGAGTCTCCTCCATATTCCTAAGGTCATCTCTTTCTTTTGTAACAGATCTTATTTCTGCAATATTTTCATTGAGTCTCTGAGTTAACTTGATGTTCTCCCATTCTGTATTTTCTAGAGTTGACTTTTGGGCCTCAAGTTGCTTCTTCAAGTTTTCCATTTCACATATTTTTTCCCAAGTCTCACTGACATCTTTCATTTCAAGAAGTTGATGCTCTTCTTCCTGAAGTTCTTGAATCTGAGGAAATTATAAAGCAAGTTAGGACACAGGCAGAATTTATTAGGAAAAAGAACTATTTCTAAAATTATGGCAATCATCTTCCTATTTTAGTTTAGTACGTATTATTTTCTTCCTTAAGGGATATGAAGAACACAATAATCGGATGTCATTTTCCAAACGACATAAGACCTACATTTGCCTGTCAGTATCTGAATTCCCTAAGACTCTCTGGATATTTGTGCCTTGATCTGTCTTCTCTGAACTATTTCATGCATTAATGGTTTTCTGGTACTCCTTCAGAAGAATGTCAGTAGCTTTTAGTTCTGCTTTGATTTTCTGTTCCTTTATGATTAGAGGAAAATGAATCTAACTTAATAGTGAACACTATCATTACCACCTTAACACTACTTTTACAACCAAAAAACATCACAAGAGGGAAACTTACCTCAGCTACAATTTCTTTAGTGTTTTCTTTGAGTTGGTTTGTTTCCTTTGGAAGGGCCTCCTGCACCCTTTCCAGTTCGTCTTCTTCCTTAACGACAGTTTTTAATTCTTCTTGACTTGCCTGAAGGTCTTCGGTCAACTCGAGCCTCTCGCTTTCTTTTCTTTGTAGTGATGAGTCTTTGGCTTTGAGATGTTCCTTTAATTGTTCCAGTTCACTCATTTTTTCCTGAGTCTCACTGATTTCTTTGAAGGTAATAAACTGTTTCTCATAAAGCTCTTGCGTCTAAAAAAGAAAAAGCCAAAAATATACTTGCATGCAAACACACATAAAAACATGTGCTTATATATGTATATATATTTTTTGAAGGAAAAAATTTAGGATGCTTTCTAAAACAATTTAGTGAGTAAACAGTAGTCTCTGTAATCTAGTTCGATACCTCCCTTAAATTGGGTCCCCCCTGCTCCTTTACTCCCATTTTACCTTTTTCTGTAATTCATCATTTGCTGTTTCTAATTCCTGTTGAATGTGTGATATTTCAGTTTCTCTCTCTGATAGATCCACTCTCAGTTTACCAATAATTTCCTCTTGTTCTTTTAGGTGACAATGAGCAACTGTAAGTTTCTCTTCGGTTTCTAGTTGTTTAGCTGCCATTTCTCTGAGGTTTTCTTGGAGTTGGTTCTTTTCAGATTGAAGAAATTCTTGTAGCCTCTGAAGGTCAGCTCTCTCCTTAGCTATAGATTTCACTTCATCAAGACTTTCTTGAAGTCTTTCAGACAATTCGAGCTTTTCCATTTCTAGCTTTAGTAGTGATGAGTCTTTGAATGGCTCCTTCAATTGCTCCATCTCATTCATCATTTTCTTAGCTTCACTGTCCTTTTCTTTCATATTGAAGGACTGTTCTTTTTTGTCTTGAGATGCTTGAATCTGAGCTGTCTTCTCAGAAATGTTTCTTCTTAGTTCTTCAGTAGTTTCCTGGTGTTCTTTAAATGCATGTGGGCCATCTGTAGTTCTTCTTTTGTTTCTAGACCTGTAGCTTCAATCTCTCTTATGTGTTCTTTAAGATTATTTCTCTCTACTTCGAATGACTCCTGTAATTTCTTTAGATCATTTCTTTCTTTGGTTATGAATTTCATTTCCTCACAATTTTCATGAAGTTTCTGAGCTAACTCTATCTTCTCAATTTTTATATGTTCCAATGTTAATTCTTGGTTCTTTAGTTCATTATTTAAGTTTTCCATTTCATTCATCTTTTTCTGCATCTCGCTCATCTCTTCTTGTACACTAAGCAGTTGCTGCTGTTTTTCTTGCAGTTGTTGGCTCTTTTCCTTTAGCTTTTCTTGAACTTCTGATAGTTTTTCACAGGCCTAGAGAGCTCTTCTTCTTTCTTAATGGTACAGTTCTTTTCTTGTCTATTTGTGTCCTCTTTGATTTCTTTCATTAGAGTTTTATAGTTTTCTATATATAGGTCTTTCATTTCTTTAGGTAGATATACTCCTAAGTATTTTATTCTTTTTGTTACCATGGTGAATGGTATTGTTTCCTTAATTTCTCTTTCTGTTTTCTCATTGTTAGTGTATAGGAATGCAAGGGATTTCGGTGTGTTAATTTTATATCCTGCAACATTACTGTATTCATTGTTTAGCTCTAGTAATTTTCTAGTAGAGTCCTTAGGGTTTTCTATGTAGAGGATCATGTCATCTGCAAGCAGTGAGAGTTTCACTTCTTCTTTTCCCATCTGGATTCCTTTTATTTCTTTTTCTGCTGTGATTGCTGTGGCCAACACTTCCAAAACTATGTCAAACAGTAGTGGTGAGAGTGGGCACCCTTGTCTTGTTCCTGAATTTAAGGGAAATGCTTTCAATATTTCACCATTGAGGATAATGTTTGCTGTGGGTTTGTCATATATAGCTTTTATGATGTTGAGGAATGTTCCTTCTATGCCTGCTTTCTGGAGAGTTTTTAATCATAAATGGATGTTGAATTTTGCCGAAGGCTTTTTCTGCCGCTATTGAGATAATCATATGGTTTTTATCTTTCAATTTGCTAATGTGGTGTGTTACATTGATTGATTTGTGGATATTAAAGAATCCTTGCCTTCCTGGGATAAACCCCACCTGGTCATGATGTATGATCTTTTTCATATGTTGCTGGATTCTGTTTGCTAGAATTTTGTTAAGGATTTTTGCATCTATGTTCATCAGTGATATTGGCCTGTAGCTTTCTTTTTGTGTGTGGCATCTTTGTCTGGTTTTGGTATTGGGGTGATGGTGGCCTCATAGAATGAGTTTGGAAGTTTACCTTCTTCTGCAATCTTCTGGAAGAGTTTGAGTAAGATAGCTGTTCAGTTCAGTTTAGCTCAGTCACTCAGTCGTGTCCAACTCTTTGAGACCCCATGAGTCGCAGCACTCCAGGCCCCCCTGGCCATCACAAACTACCGGAGTTCACTCAAACTCATGCCCATCGAGTTGGTGATGCCATCCAGCCATCTCATCCTCTGTCGGCCCCTTCTCCTCCTGCCCCCAATCCCTCCCAGCATCAGGGTCTTCTCCAACGAGTCTTATGGATATGAGAGATGAATTATAAAGAAAGCTAAGTGCTGAAGAATCGATGCTTTTAAACTGTGGTGTTGTTGGAGAAGACTCTTAAGATCCCTCGGACTGCAAGGAGATCCAGCCAGTCCATCCTAAAGGAAATCAGTCCTGAATATTCATTGGGAGGACTGATGCTGAAGCTGAAACTCCAATACTTTGGCCACCTGATGCCAGGAGCTGACTCCTTGGAAAAGACCCTGATGCTGAGAAAGATTGAAGGCAGGAGGAGAATGGGACAACAGAGGATGAGATGGTTGGAAGGCATCACCAACTCGATGGACATGAGTTTAGGCAAGCTCCAGGAGATGGTGGGACAGGGAAACCTGGCATGCTGCAGTCCATGGGGTCGCAAAGAGTTGGACATGACTGAGTAACTGAACTGAACTGATAGAAAGGAATCATGCAACTGATTGGATTAATAATTTATTGGTAAAGTGTACTTTGGATATAAACTGGAGAAAAAAGAAAATTATGACAGAATATGACTAGCAGTCATGAATAGCTTGAGTAGGAATCAAGGGAAAGTGAGTAAATAGAGGAGTTTGTGGTCCATGGTAGGCCATGAAGGTTTGAAATCACTTCTGTTGCTGTGGAGAGTATCCTCATCTTTTCCCTTTAAAAATTATGACAACAGTGTCTAGATAGAACCCTTAGTATTACATGAATATCGCAAGATTCCAGTGCTTCATGAGGGACCAGAGCTACTTTCTAATGTGAAAGAAGTCACTGATACTCAGCGAACAATGGATGAACCAGAGCTATTGAAAGAACAATCCAAAACCAAAGATTCAACTACACTAGCAAGGATAGAAATGGAGAGTCTCAGGATGGCTGTTTTCCCTTATTTAGAAGGAATATGAAATAGAAATTAGGTTTTAACATATTCAATTAGGTTATAGTAAAAGGGATGAGAATTAAGAGAACCCATATTAGGAAAAAATATACAGAAGTGCAATGGAAATCACTATTATCTATAATGAATGTGATACTGCTTCTAGAATATACGGAAAGATCTCAGCTGGTGCATCTTAGAATTACTTGGGGAATATGATTGTCGCCGGAGTCTCAGGCGTGTCTGCACGTTTCACAATAGCGTCTTCTTGGCAGCGTCTCAGTGGTAACACAGTCAGGCCTTGTCGTCCACGGAGGGCAGTTCCAGGGCCTCTGCAGTCAGCAAAACCCAGGAACGCCCAAGTCCTCTTATAAAATGACAGCTATTTGTGTATAACCTAAACATATCCTCTCCTGTACTTGACCTGATCTCTAGGTTATGTATGCTACTGAATACAATAAAAATGCTATGTAAATAGTTGCCCAAGTGCGGCAATTTTGGGTTTCAGTTTTTGGAGCTTTCTGTATTTTTCCTCTGAACATTTCTGATCTAGGGCCAGTTGCACCCATGGATGCAGCACCTGCAGACACAGAGGGCTGCCCGCAGAGCTGACCTCACTCTTCAGAGCGTGACTGGTGCGCCGCCGCAAGGGCAGCGTCTGTGCTCTGCTGACCGGTGTATCTCAGGAGCCCACAGAGCGTGACTGGCGCGCCGCTGCAAGGGCAGCATCTTTGTTCTGCTGACCAGTGTATCTCAGGAGCCCGCAGAGCGTGACTGGCGCGCCACTGCAAGGGCAGCATCTTTGTTCTGCTGACCAGTGTATCTCAGGAGCCCGCAGAGCGTGACTGGCGCGCCACTGCAAGGGCAGCATCTTTGTTCTGCTGACCAGTGTATCTCAGGAGCCCGCAGAGCGTGACTGGCGCGCCACTGCAAGGGCAGCATCTTTGTTCTGCTGACCAGTGTATCTCAGGAGCCCGCAGAGCGTGACTGGCGCGCCACTGCAAGGGCAGCATCTTTGTTCTGCTGACCAGTGTATCTCAGGAGCCCGCAGAGCGTGACTGGCGCGCCACTGCAAGGGCAGCATCTTTGTTCTGCTGACCAGTGTATCTCAGGAGCCCGCAGAGCGTGACTGGCGCGCCACTGCAAGGGCAGCATCTTTGTTCTGCTGACCAGTGTATCTCAGGAGCCCGCAGAGCGTGACTGGCGCGCCACTGCAAGGGCAGCATCTTTGTTCTGCTGACCAGTGTATCTCAGGAGCCCGCAGAGCGTGACTGGCGCGCCACTGCAAGGGCAGCATCTTTGTTCTGCTGACCAGTGTATCTCAGGAGCCCGCAGAGCGTGACTGGCGCGCCACTGCAAGGGCAGCATCTTTGTTCTGCTGACCAGTGTATCTCAGGAGCCCGCAGAGCGTGACTGGCGCGCCACTGCAAGGGCAGCATCTTTGTTCTGCTGACCAGTGTATCTCAGGAGCCCGCAGAGCGTGACTGGCGCGCCACTGCAAGGGCAGCATCTTTGTTCTGCTGACCAGTGTATCTCAGGAGCCCGCAGAGCGTGACTGGCGCGCCACTGCAAGGGCAGCATCTTTGTTCTGCTGACCAGTGTATCTCAGGAGCCCGCAGAGCGTGACTGGCGCGCCACTGCAAGGGCAGCATCTTTGTTCTGCTGACCAGTGTATCTCAGGAGCCCGCAGAGCGTGACTGGCGCGCCACTGCAAGGGCAGCATCTTTGTTCTGCTGACCAGTGTATCTCAGGAGCCCGCAGAGCGTGACTGGCGCGCCACTGCAAGGGCAGCATCTTTGTTCTGCTGACCAGTGTATCTCAGGAGCCCGCAGAGCGTGACTGGCGCGCCACTGCAAGGGCAGCATCTTTGTTCTGCTGACCAGTGTATCTCAGGAGCCCGCAGAGCGTGACTGGCGCGCCACTGCAAGGGCAGCATCTTTGTTCTGCTGACCAGTGTATCTCAGGAGCCCGCAGAGCGTGACTGGCGCGCCACTGCAAGGGCAGCATCTTTGTTCTGCTGACCAGTGTATCTCAGGAGCCCGCAGAGCGTGACTGGCGCGCCACTGCAAGGGCAGCATCTTTGTTCTGCTGACCAGTGTATCTCAGGAGCCCGCAGAGCGTGACTGGCGCGCCACTGCAAGGGCAGCATCTTTGTTCTGCTGACCAGTGTATCTCAGGAGCCCGCAGAGCGTGACTGGCGCGCCACTGCAAGGGCAGCATCTTTGTTCTGCTGACCAGTGTATCTCAGGAGCCCGCAGAGCGTGACTGGCGCGCCACTGCAAGGGCAGCATCTTTGTTCTGCTGACCAGTGTATCTCAGGAGCCCGCAGAGCGTGACTGGCGCGCCACTGCAAGGGCAGCATCTTTGTTCTGCTGACCAGTGTATCTCAGGAGCCCGCAGAGCGTGACTGGCGCGCCACTGCAAGGGCAGCATCTTTGTTCTGCTGACCAGTGTATCTCAGGAGCCCGCAGAGCGTGACTGGCGCGCCACTGCAAGGGCAGCATCTTTGTTCTGCTGACCAGTGTATCTCAGGAGCCCGCAGAGCGTGACTGGNAGCATCTGTATTCAAAATAGCCAAATAGTGAAGAGAGCCTAAATTTCCACCAGTAGGAGAAAGTCTAAACAAACTGTAGCCTTTCCAACAGTGGAATGCTACCCAGCAATAAGCAGGAGACTAGAAAGAAGACATGGGCTTCCCAGGTGGTGTTAGTAGTAAAGAACCTGCCTGCTAATGCAGGAGACATAAGAAACAAGGGTTCAATCCCTGGGTCAGGAAGATTCCCTGGAGAAGGGCATGGCAACTGACTCCAGTATTCATGCCTGGAGAAACCCACGGACAGAGGAGACTGGTGGCTATGGTCCATAGGGTTGCAAAGAGTCGCACGCGACTGAAGCAACTTAGCATGCACACACAGAAAGAAGACACAAAAGAGTTTATGCCATGTGATTCTATTTGTGTGAATTTCTAGAAGAGACAAAGTCATTAAGGCAAAAACCATAAGGATAGTTGACTACGTGGGGCAGAGGTTAAGACTGGGATTGAGTAGGCCAGGGCTCAAGGGAACATTCTGGGGTGATGTTCCACATCTCGATGAAAATGGGAAGTCCACAGTAGAGATATCTGTCAAAAGTCATCAGGCTGTATACTTGCATTTGCTACATTTATCACATGGCATGTAAGTTATACCTCGATAAATCTGTGAAAGTCTAAAATATACAAGGACAAAAATGTACCGCAAAGTACACAGTCCTAAGTCCTACCATTTCAGTGTTTTCTCTCTGGTCAGTCTCAGTTGCTCCTTTTCTGTGGTAGCGCTCTCTAACATTTGCTGCAGTTCCCTTTTCTCCTGTGTTAAAGAAGATATCTTTCTCTGTTGCTCAGTTAGCTCATTATCCTCAGCACCTGCAATCAGAGCTTGGGTTTTTGTGGTTTCCAAATTTTGGCTTTTATCTATGCCAATCATCTAAAATATAAATACAGTAAAGAATTTCTTAGTTAATAATACTTTTAATAATAATAATAAAAACAGCCAACACATATTACTTATATATCAGGCAATATTTTCATATATTGACATACTTAATCTTTACCATAATTTTATGAGGTAGGTGCTACTATTATCTCCATTTGACAGATGAGGAAATAATCCCAGAGAGGGTAGGTCACTTGTCCAAGGTCACTCAGCATTGAATAACCAGGTTTTGAACCCAATGCTCTGGCTCCAGTGTGTGCTCTTGTGCCTGATCATTAATAAGAACTACCTAAACAGCTATAGATAATTTACAATTATCTTTATGTATGATGGGCTAACCAGATTTTATGAAAAAGTGAGCTACTTTGAGCTCTATTACTTTATTTCTTTTCTTAAAAGCTGGAAATCATTCCCTATTCCCAATAGGAATATTCCCAACTTTCATTTTCAAAGGTAGTGCATACTTACAATAGTAGTATGCACCATTGTAAGTATACATGTAGAAGGCAAAGTAATTTTGGTAGAAATATATCTCATATTATAATAGTATAATTCATCTTTTCTTAATATATAATTTTCACTTACTGCTTAAGAAAAGTATGTTATATAAATTCATTTATCCATAATAAGTCTTAACCAAGTGTAACTTAAAATGTGAACTCCCTGGTAAAAGGAGACTAAGACTAACATCACAATTGTTGGCATGAAATTAGGTTGTTACTATATAAGTTTACACTAGTCTAATAAATATTCAACTCCATACTGGCCAC